TTGTGACTGTTTTTGTTAATCTTTGTTAACGTTAGTTAATACAAATCCAGCTGTTCATTGTTTGTTCATGTTAGTTCACAGTGCATTAACTAATGTTAACAAGATTTTAATAATGTATTAGTAAATGTTGAAATTAACATTAACAAAGATTAACAAATGCTGAAGAAGTATTGTTCATTCTTAGTTAATGTTAACTAATGTAGTTGACTAATGAACCTTATTGTAAAGTGTTACCGTTATTACTATATGTGGTAAGGTACTAACCCTGAACCTACCCCTAAACATAACCTTAACCCATGTAGTTATCTTATATTAACCAGTACTTTCTTAGCTAAGTGTTCACGTAAGTAAATGCACTGTAAAATAAACTGCAACCCATTCAAGTGCTGTTTTTTTTTGCGATCAAATGTTTATTGAAATAAATAAAAGACCAACAATAATACAAACAACTATACAAGGCATCTAATTACAACAAATCAATACACATATATTTTAAAACAAAACAAAACAAAAACAAGGGGGAATTACTCAAGTTCAGGAGCTCAAATGAATGAGTAAACAGAACTGAATCAAATTAAATTAAATCAGATCAATTGATCAACCAGTCTTTCAGTGACTACAAAGTGTTTTCTCATTTGCACCATTAACTCAAAGCTCTAAGAGAATCACATCCAGAATTGTAAGAATCCAATGTTTAACAGAAAGTGAATGATCAGGGTTTAATACAATAATCTTTTTAGCAGCTGTGAGACCCGGCAGTCCAATGCCCATGCAAATTATTAATATTCAAGCTTGTCAGCTTGGTTAATAACAAGGCGGGCTCAGTTACAGGCACCGTTACAGAAACCAAATTAGACAATCTGGCTATACCAGCAACAGGTGGACACTCCAACATCACGTGTAGGTGCACCTTCAGCACACGCCAGGGGTTAAATACGTTCTATGTACAAAATTAAAATGCATTTGTTGGTGGTCGGGATTACGAGAGGCCTCCTTTATATTTACTCAAACTCCAAAGTAAAGTCTGGGTTGAAATTCGGGGAATCACATCTCCACAGCCTGTCTAATGGCAGTTTATCATAGGAGGCCTCCAGAATAAAATGATATAATATGGACCAAGCCTCTATCATTCCTTTGCGTAGAAATCAATTTATACAAGGGGTGCACAGGCAAAGGTTGTTGCCAAGGTCACTGTATGCTCCGAGGGTCCATCTGAGCTGTAAATAGAAGCTGGTAAACTGAAGGAAGTGCTGTTTGTCTGTGTGTATCAGTTGCACATCTGCAGTGGCTTGTTTCCAGCTGTTGGGTCACAGTGGGCCTCTCAGTTTGAGGCCTCAAGGCAAAGGCTCATTTGGCCTGGTTCATAATCCATCATAATCCATTCAGCATCTTCATATTAATATGTGTTTGTACACTATACACATCTACCCCACTAAACCTGAAATGTTAAGATGCTGCCTTAAGTTTTTAGGTAAAAACCAACAACAAGTTCTTTGCAACCATATCAAATGACTTTTCCAATGAAACTGAAAACTCTGGAATTGTTGTGACAAGTTTAATTTAATGATGTTTTTTTTTTTTTTTTTTTTTTCACACTGCTCTCTTTCTCTGCCATCAAAGATTTTTGCACAGTAACCGCAGGAATTACTTCTCTGGCGTGTTTGAATGTTGTTAAATCACAGCGGGTCTTATTTGCTTAGAAAATAAATTTGAACTGAGTTTAGATTGCAAGACATTTTTTTATAAAAAAAAATATATATATAATGAATAAATGAATTATTGAGTGAGTTTATCTCATTACTGATTAGGACTACATCTGTATATGCAACACTATATCTGCAAAAAGCTACCAAATAAAAATGAATAGACTAAAATCTTGCAGAAAAAAGTTTAATCCAGCTCAAGATGGTTTGTCAGTTTTCTCGTTTTAGAGGGGTTTGGGCATTTTTCAGATGCTTTTTTCCTGTATAGATTATGGTCAAATCACTGCAAGGAGTGACTTTGAGTGGCTTATTGTACAACAGCTGCAGCAATAATGCAATTGTAGACATGGCAAGTTTTATTTTTGTAGTACATTAGACATATTGTTTCAAAGCAGATTTACAAAAAGAATTGACACACACACACACACACACACAATAATTACGTCTGTGGAAGCAATGACATGTGCAAACACACCCAATGACGGGATATCAGTGGCTGGATATGTGACTAGAACCTAGAAACTGTTTCTCTGAGGGCAGCTGATATCCTGGGTCAAGAGAGGAGCATCCTGACCCGAGGAAAAGCCCGACCTGTCTTAATTTAATCTATCCGCCCGCTGTTCTTTGAAGACATGTTGAAGCCTGGGGGTAGAGCTGAGCTGACCATCACTTCTGTGACCTGATCATTCCTCCACAACTTCAGAGAAGAAGCTAACAAAACAAGAGAGGTTTTCAGTCGGCAAAACACTGCTTGACTAAACAGATTATTTTACAGAGAGTGACCATTTTTAGTTGACTTCAAGATTGAAAATAATAATGACCACTTTACATTGTGTTCACATAATTAATAATTCATGGTAACACTTTACAAAAGGTTTCATTAGGTAACATTATATTTAACTACATTTGTTGACATGAACTAACAAAAAGAACAATAGGTACTTCTACAGCATGTATTGATCTTATTACTGTAAATTCATTTACTAATACATTTTTAAGGATTATCTGTTAATATTAGTTAATGCGATGAACTAACATGCAGAAATATCAAACTATTGTTTTGAAAAAAGAAAAAGAAAGACTACAATAAATAAATTGTACAACTTTTTTTGGGACATGTGACCATGTTTTTTTCTTGATGAAAGTGGACTTTTAAAGTTTTAAATGTACCTTTCACTGTATTTTCCAGTGCATTTGGCTTGGAGCTATTTTACAACTTTTCCAAGAATAAATAATGGTTGCATAATGTTGAAGTAACGCATTTGAATTCGCACAGAAACATGCATTATCCTTAACACTACAAAACAAAAAATCTGTCAATTAAAAGAAAAGACTTAACATAACATTAATGCTTTCGCATTGCATTGCACAAAATCTTATTTGATTTTAATTTTAACACATTTATTTTGTATTGCTTTTATGTAATGATAATAAGATAAGATAAGATTATACTCAAACTTTACTTAAAACTTAGTAAATGAGTTACTTATTATTATTATTATTATTATTATTTTTAATTATTATTATTAAATGCTTGTAGAAGAAAAATTAGTTACTTAGTGACGCACACCAAACGATACAGGTTCTAATACAGGTTTCGTTCTCTAGTGCCATCTAGTGCCATCATTTACACACCGCGCGCGGAGTATTAACCAAACACGTGGAGGAAGAGCAGATGCAGAAGGTCAGGTAATAATAAACTACTAAAACATTACAGAGGTATAATTGCAATTCTAATGTAGTTAAAATGATATGATGCATACGTCAGTGTTATTTCCTACAAACGTTTCGCGCTCGTGCTGCATTCACGTCGGTGTTTTGTTTCCTCATCAAACCCTCGAAGTGGAGAGTAAACTAAAGCCAGAAAGGAAGTAGATTATAGATATTCCTGACAGTAACATTATCTAATTTGAGCTCTAGCATGTGTTATGAACGTATTAATGTTAATCAGCACTCCAAATAAGTTCTTCCTCAAGTACCAATTATCAAAAAACAACTACTCTTTATTGTAATTTTCCAAATAATTAATCATTTGCTACTGTCAACAATATAGCGTCCAACTATATATTCAAAAATGTATTATAAATATTTTAAGACTCCACTGCATCAGATAGATCAGATGTCAATCAAATGTAGGGGCTATTTATTACATGTTTAGTTATAAATGTTATTTTTAGCCATCTAGCCTAATGAATCACAAATATTAATAATCTGTTCCAGTTTAGTTTTCAGAAGACATATAGGCCTACCTACCCAGCACTGGCAACTTACCCAGATGTATGCAAACAGTGATGCAATTATTTAATAATCACTTACATACAGCATTGCCCGCAATAAATAATAATTTTCTTTGGCATTTATGCAGATTTAAAATAGTTTGAATTCTGATTCATAATACTTACATACGAAATGGAACATATTAAAGAACTAGCAAATCCATGCAGGTTTGGATAAACTATTCGAATCATTTTGTATTAATATGTGTTGCTTAGCTAAGATTTTTGTTTGTCAGTCTGTCGAAAACAAGGTTCCTGTCAGTTTGGACCAATAATACTTAGACCAGGAAGGTGGGAGCACCTGTGTGGTTTGGGTGTTTTTTCTTAATCATTAGTTAAACACACACACACACATTTGGCAGAGGCATTTAAATGAAAAATATTTCCCTGTGGACAGTGAGGCATTTAACACATTACTTCCTGTTTGTCTGAAGCTGATTATTAATCTCCCAAATATGAGTAGAGCACAGAAAAACAATTTTGTTGTACTGAACATTCACAAAGTTTTATTAGACAAATGTTTATTAAACCTAAGCAACTTAAGTTTTTTTTTCTTCACAAAGAAAAACGTTTGAAATGGCATTTATTATATATTATCTGGTAACACTTTACAATAAGGTTTAATTTGCTAACATTAACATGAAATAACAATGAATAGCACTTATTTGTTAATCTGAGTTGATGTTAATTCAAACATTATCTGTTAACATTAGTTAATGCACTGTGAACTAACATTTTTATAAGCTAACATTAACAAATGTTAATAAATACTTTAAAAATAAATTGCTCATTCATTCATGTTAACCTTATTGTAAAGTGATACCAATTATCTTAAGATTCCTCATTGGGCCACATTCAAATATATATAATATAAATATAATATATATAATAATAATACATTAAATTGATTGATATTTGTTGCAAAGATGTATAGAAACTCTAAATTGAATTGAATTGAATTAAGACTTTAAGAGTTATTTGTGATTAAGCAATCCATGATGTTTCGTTCTCTAGTGCCATCTAGTGCCATCATTTACACACCGCGGAGGATTAAACAAACACCTGGAAGAAGACCAGATGTTGAAGGTCAGTTAATGATTAACTACTAAAAAACAGTGCATTATCTCACAAGTTTTGCTGCTCTAATATAGTAAGTCTGATTTGATGTTATGGTCAGTGGTGGTATTTCTTGCTGATGTTTAGCACTCGTGCGCTGCAGTCTTCACATCGCTGTCTCCTCGTCAAACTGAGGTGGAGAATGAACTAGTAAAGCCAGAAAGGGAAAAAATAGATATCACTTTCAGTGTTATCTAATATGAGTGTGCTGTATTAATATGAATCATCTCTCAAAATAAGAATCACTTACAGCCTGCACAGATTTCCGCATTGCCTCCTCATTGGCTGTGGAGCGAACGCGTGTGTGGAAGACTGTGATCGCTCTGATATTTTCTGAAAATTATGGAACATTACACAATATTTTTATTCCAAGGACATAATGCATCACTTTGTATTTTCTATTCTATTCTATTCTATTCTATTCTATTCTATTCTATTCTATTCTATTCTATTCTATTCTATTCTATTCTATTCTACTGAAATTAGAGCGGAGTATTAAAATGTAAGAAATATCTATGAAATACAAGACATATTTATTATCATATGCACAGTAAAATACCATGGTTTTGACCACACAATGAATCTAAAATCTAAAAATTGAAATTTGCATAAATATATTTCAGTTGTTGAACAATGGTATAACAATGGTATGTACCTTTCTGCTGGGGTGTTGAAGAGAATGCAGAGGTTGAAGGTGGTGAGGTTGGTGATGAGGATAATGATGTTGGTGATTGGTTGGTTGTAGGTGAGGTTGATGATGAAGAAGATGAAGGTGGTGAGGTTGATGGTAGAGAAGTTGGAAATGAGGATGGTGAAGAAGGTGCTAAGTTTGATGATAAATAAAGTTAAATAAATATTAAAAACAGAATTAGATATTTATTTATCAAACAAATCCATGGTTGTAGTAGTTATATCATTCATTAGCTAATTAGTTGGCTAGCGCTAATTTAAGATAAGGACTAAACTGGGACTGCCTTCATAGACACATTCGATCACTTCTAATTAACAAGTTACTGATTAATGTGGAGATACTAGTGCCCTCTCTAACTTGCAAACACTTGTGGAAAGAAATGTTACAGATTTGTCTTTTTTCAGGCACTGTTGAGCTGATTCTAGTGGATGTATATTTTATGTTGAGAGTAGTCTTACGTAGCTGGCATGTTTGAATGTAGTCAGCACAGCAGTCTCCGGCTGTGACGCAGTACTCATCACAGTAACACTCCTGTGTGCAACTGTCATTCCTGCCAGCACAGCAGAGCACTGTGGGTCCTGAACACAGGGCTGAAAGATACAAGACATGAACACAGAAAGCTCATATAACAAAGACGTGTATCCCGGGCTAATCTGGGACTTTGCTTTTCTAAACTTACACATCTGATGCTAAGATGGTTTTGGCTGTTCAGCAGCTCTAGAAGAAAGTCATTGTCCAGCTTAAGTAAGTTTTTGATTGATTAATTTACGTTATAAAAATCATTAGTTATTAAGTTAGGGGCCGCTTACACGACACCGTTTTAACTGGAAACCAAAAACTTTTAATGCGTTCTGGTGTTTTGGTTGCCTGAGAATGCAAACTTTGCATGTTTTTTAAAAACGAGTTTTGAAAAAAGAAAAAAAAAACGATACCGTTATCATCTCCGTGTAAACTTCATAAACGTGAATCTGTGAAAACGGTGATGTCATGCACATGTGTATTACGTGGTTAGTCTAGGCATGCACGTTTTAATGCATATGTGCGCGGGTGTGTAGTTTTTCTTTACAAAGTGACAGCCAATTACTTGCCAAAAAAGTTTCATGGCTAGTAAAGTCACCGGCCATTGGCAGGTGAGGCAAAAAGTTAGTTTTAGGCCATATGCCGCTGACAGTTTAATTGTGTTGAGAAATAATTCATTTATTTGCATTTTCTGAAGAGTTTTCAGATTCAGTATTTTCTCAGCTGAAGGAATAGAGCTAATGATTTTTACATTGTATTAAAAATGATGTAGTGCACCCTTGGCTTTTTTCCTCTTATTTTTTGATAAGGTGGAAACTATGAAAAGTAGACCTATTGATGTGTGTGACAAATGTGTATTATTTATGTGTGTGGGGATTTTAAAGGGGTGGTTGAATATGATTTTACTTTTATAATCGTGTGTAATGTTGCTGTTTGAGCATAAACAACATCTGCAAAGTTATGAAGCTCAAAGTTCAAAGTAAAGGGAGATATTTTCTTTTAAAGAAATTGCTTTTTAAGGACTACAACAAATGGCTGGTGGGGACTTCACCACATTCCTCCCGGGTTAGTGATGTCACGAACCCTAAAATTTACATAAACCCCGCCCCCCGGGAATGAGATTAATAGATTATCATGACAGAATATGCTAATCAATGACTAGAAGACAACTACACATAAGCTACATAAATTCATCAACTAACCATTCAGAAATGTTGTCTACATGTTGTCACTTCTTCCTAAATCATTCCATCATTGTCTGACTCCGGTTTGAACATAAAAGGCTAAACGTTTTTGAAATGTTCAGTGTGTGTCTGTGTGAGGTTATTGAAGCTGCCAAGTGCGAACCATAGACTGTAAAAAATAGGTGCAAACACAAGAGCTCTTGTAGCTCCGCCCTCTGTGCCGGGAGCAGCAGCTCATTTGCATTTAAAGGGACAGACAAAAAACGGTGCGTTTTTGCTCTCCCTCAAAAAGTAAATATTTTAACATGCTATATAAAAATATCTGTGGGGTATTTTGAGCTAAAACTTCACATACACACTCTGGGGACATCAAAGACTTATTTTACATCTTGCGAAAAGGGCATTATACCACCCCTTTAAGTAAAACATGCAGTACACATCAACACTATCTACATTTCTTAGTAAAATCTGACTAATGAAACTAATTAAAAAACCATAAGATGTGTATTTTTTTGTACCGTAAATAAATCCACTAATTGTTATTTAGAATCCAAAATGATTTTATGACCATGGTACCAATTGCATAAAAAACGGAATTAATTTAAATCTTTAATACCTAAACTGAAGAAATGTTGGCTAGTAGAAGCTGACTTTGCCGGTTGATAACAGACCCACTACAGAGCGTCCGGTGAGAGACTTATATCAGGTATTCGGGAATAACCCATTTATTGTCACCACAACTCAGTACACTGAATAACCTCGACTTTGCATGTGTGTGTGGTTTTCTATAAATACAGATATAAGAAAATAGATAAGTACAAATAACAATAACAAATAATAGTAGTCACAATAAACATAGTAACAGTAATCTCCACAATGAATATTACATTACTATGATTAATATAGTACAATAGGAACAAATGTGCCATTATATGGAAAAATGCACTGATAAAAAATGATTAATACTGAGCGGTTGAAATGCGACACCTATGCGTGCTGAGGAAAGAAATGGAGCCGCTCTGTCTAGCACATTAGTGCGCATGCGCCCAAAGCGTGCTTTAACTCTAGAAGTGAGCGATATATATATTACATAAACCATATAATGACTAAAAGGTACATAGATTATGTCTTCTAAATATAACAACGAAATACCTGAGGAAACTAGTATGCAAATATACACACGAACATCTTTACGAGCTAGTTCGCATCGTCACTCGCATACATTAACTTTTCCACATGCCGGGCTATTCAAACGTTTATAAACTAAATAGAAAGCAATGTAAAAACAGGCTGCTACTTACTTTACAGGCACGCACACAACTTTAGCAAAGGTAAACACTACACTAAAGTAGCTTGCATCCATCCGCTTTCCCGATCGTAAGACTCGATTCAGTGGGCGGGAGCACTGACCTGCACGTCTTTTCCGCGGCGCGGATTGGCCCGCTGGACGGATGCTGCGACGAATGCGTCAATTTTGTCATATAACAAAGGAACTGAGACACTTGAATATAACACTAATGGTGGCCTTTTTTACAGCCGCCCCCAGATGTCCGTAAGGAAATATGTACAATAACAAAAGGCCTATAACATATACCACTCAAAATAGCTCTAATCTGGTATGGCAGGCAATTGGATGAGGCGTGCGACTGGGCGTGTGTACGACCTCTCTCCTACGTTAATTTGAGCTGTTCTTACTCTGCTGTCTACTCCGGGGAATACCCTTGACACCTGGCCCACCGGCCAGAGGGCTCTTGGCAATTGGGGGTCAACGATCAGGACGATGGTGCCAACCTGGATGTCAGATTTCTCATCCTGCCACTTCTGGCGGGTCTGAAGGCTTGGTAGGTAGAACCTGATGAATCGCTTCCAGAATTGGTCGGCAAGGACTTGACTATGCCGCCATCTGCGTCGACTGATCAGTTCAGATTCCGGATAAATCACAGGAGGAAGTGATGAATCTGGCCGCCCCATCAGAAGGGAATTTGGTGTGATGGGGTCCAGATCGGAAAAATTGGATGAAGTGTAGCCCATTGGCTTGGAATTTAAGATCCCCTCGATCTCCACCAACATAGTGTACAGCACTTCGAAGGTGACAGACTGGGCGCCAAGTGTTGTCATCAAGGCCTGTTTTAGGGATCGAATCTCTCTTTCCCAGCTGCCACCAAAGTGTGGAGAATTAGGGGGATTGAAGTGGAATTGTATTTGCTGGCTTGCCAGCTGCTCTTGCAGTTCTGGGACCATAGCTGCGTATGCTTCTCTCAGTTCTCTCTCCCCTCCTTTGAAGTTGGTCCCTTGATCCGATAAAAGCTCGAATGGCTTGCCTCGTCTTGCGATGAATCGCCTGAGAGCCATGAGGAATGAATCAGAGTCGAGACTATGAAGGACGTCAATGTAGACTGCCCGGGTAGTGAGACATTTGAACAGGATGCCCCATTTCTTCTCGTTTCTGCGACCTACTTTAATAGTATATGGACCGAAACAATCCATTCCTGTTGAGTAGAAGGCGGGCTTGAATAAACGTAATCTGGCTGGAGGTAGGTCTGCCATTCTTGGTACCTCAGGGTTTTTTCTCCACTTCTGGCAGTCCATACAAGCACTCTGACACCGTTTGATGGCCTCTCTGCCTCGAAGAATCCAATATTTACGCCGAAGCTCGGCAAAGACTCTTTCAGGGCCTGGATGGTGGAGTTTATTGTCGTAACTCTGTATGAGCAGTTTAGAGACTGGGTGTTTCGGGTCTAGGACAATGGGGTGCACTGTATCTGGATCTAGATAAGGGCTCCAACGTAGGCGACCTCCTACTCTGATCAGCTGAGTCTCATGGTCAAGTTCAGGGGCAAGTGTCTTTAATCGACTGCTTCTGGAAAGTGATTTACCTGCCTTTAACTGCTCCAGTTCAGAGGTGAAGCACTCCTCCTGAGCTTGCTGTAGGACACTGATTTCGGCCATTTTGTAGTCATCAGCTGTCTGACTATTGCCTGCCGCCCCATAACAGGCCCTGGATTCAACTAGCTCTTCAAAAGTCTTAAACAGGCTGATGTCAGGGAATGACAAGCTGGCTGCGAAGCAGGTAAAGAAGCAGGGAACTGTTTTACGAAGCTCGTCTTCATCTGCAGCCACAGGATGTGGGATTTCCGGCCACAGATTTGGAGGATCTTTGAGAAAGGATGGCCCTTGGTACCAAAAGCTGTCTGATCCCAGCTTATTTAGGCTCTTCCCTCGTGTTATATCGTCTGCTGGGTTATGAGCTGATGGTACATAACGCCATGTGTGCCTGTCTGTAATATCCTGGATCTCAGCGACTCTGGTTCCGACAAACACTTTATATCGGCAAGAGTCTGACTGCAGCCAAGTGAGGACTGTGGTGGAGTCAGTCCAAAGAGTGATTTGGTTTATGGGAAGGTTCAGTTCTGTTCTGACTACTTTAGCGAGCTGTGCCCCAGTCAGAGCAGCACAGAGTTCCAGCCGAGGGATCGATTGCTGTTTTTTGGGTGCCACTCGTGATCTGGCTGTGAGGAAGGCAACCTCTACCTGCCCATGTTGATCCTCTGTGCGGAGGTAGGCGACTGAGCCATAAGCACGCTCAGAGGCATCACAGAAAACATGTATTTCTCTCTGACTCATGTCTGTGTCTCTGAGTGGGCTGGTGTAACACCTTGGAAGGACAATGTGTTGCAAAGCAGGCAACTCCTCCACCCACTCTCTCCAGGTCTGTAGAAGATCTGCAGGTAAATGTGGGTCATCCCAGTCCCTTTTCTTATCCCAAAGGTGCTGCACTATGAGCTTGGCTCTGGTAGTGAAGGGAATAAGATAGCCCAGAGGGTCGTACTGACTTGCCACAACTTTGTAAATGGTACGCATGGTAGTCTCAGTGGTTGCTATGGGACGGTACTTGTAGGAAAGCGTGTCCGTTTGGTGATTCCAGAGAAGCCCCAGTGTAGATTCCTGGGTGTTGCTCTGCCCTTGTGAAATCCAAAGTTCAGTGCCATCTGATCTGGCCTCAGGAGGTAAATGGCTTACGATAGAGAGCTGGTTGCTGGACCACTGCCTCAGGTCAAAACCCCCCTCTGCTAATAAGCTCCTGAGTTTGTCAACAAGAATCTTTGCTTCTTCCACTGAGGAGAAGCTTTGCAGACAATTGTCGACGTAGAAAGACTTCAGGACAGAATGGTGGACGTCTTCCCCAGGATGGCTATGGTCATGGACATGTTTTTGTAATGCAAAGATTGCACAGCAAGGGCTGCATGTCGTGCCGAAGGGGAGAACCTGCCATTCATAAACACTGGGTGGATCCTGTGTCTTTAGATCCCTCCAGAGGAATCGCAGGAGTGGCTTGTCTTCTGGAAGCAATCTAATCTGGTGGAACATCCCCTTGATGTCACTGCTGATAGCAATGGAATGTTCTCTGAATCTGAGCAACACTGCGAGAAGAGATGGGCCTAACACAGGTCCAGGGAGCAAGAGCTTGTTAAGGTTTTGACCCTGATATTGAAATGAGCAATTAAATACAACTCTGTTCTTCCCATTGTGTTGGACCAGGTGATGGGGAATGTACCAGGTGTTAGTTGAGCATGCTTCAGCACTTGGTTCCACCCTGACTGCATAACCTGCCTGCTCTAGTTTCTGAATCTCTGCAGTGTAGGCAGATGCTTGCTTTGGGTCTTTGGCCAGCCTTCTCTCTGTGGCTCGCAGATGAGGGAGAACAGCATTTTTGGGGGCCTTGAGGTCTGGCATGTTCTTAACATGCAAAAGTGGTGTTGCATAGCGCTTAACACCATCCACCTCTACTCTCACTGTCTTGCTCTCCAGAATTTCCACTGCTTCCTGGTCTTGTTTGGATCTTGTGCTCATCTTTTCACTTTGCCAGGGAAGCACATCTATCTGCCAAAGTCTCTCCACTTGTTTGAGAAGATCAGTTTCTGGAGATGCCATTGAGGTGAAAAGACACTGTTGTTCAGTGACCGCATGCTGCAGGTGTTGTACAGGGCCCTGCAAAGTCCAGCCGAGACGAGTCTTGATGGCTGCTGGTCCCCCTGGGGGGCCTAAGCGGATTGGCTCCACTGACGTAATGAGGTGGGGGTAGTCTGATCCGATGAGCAGGACAGGGCGAACTGCCTCTAAATGGCTCAAAGGAAGCCCTCTGAGGTGGTGGTATTTCTCCCGTAAGCTCTTAACCGGGTGTGTATGTTCAGCAAGACTCAACTGCTGTGCTGTGAATGCACCCTTTATGTGATACAGTTTGCTGGGCTGAGACAGGGGGGAGATGTGAAAGGACACTGCTGCACCAGAGAGCATTTGTAATTCCTGCCTGATTGTGCGAAGTGGAAGATCTTCTGGCTGACCTTTTAAGCCCAGCTGTTTGGCAGCATTGTGCAGAAGGATGGTCCTCTCCGATCCATCGTCCAGGATAGCATAGGCTTTCATCTTGTGTGCCCCGTTTCGGATAATGACCTTGACGATCTTTAGAAGAACCTTTCGGCTGGCAGGGGGCTTACGAATGAGAAGTATCTCGTTTGTAGTGTTGAGAAGGCAGGCATTAGCAGACGAACCTTCATTCGGGGTAGTCTTTGGGATGTCTGCACTCTTGGGATTGATTGCATGAAGGACCAGTAGGTGGCGTCCATTACACTGTTTGCAGCGCATTTTCAGATTGCACTCTGAAACTTGATGATTCCTCCCACAGCGCCAGCATCTATTGCAGTCTCTTATCCAGTTTCGTTTCTGGTCAACGGTAAGCTGCTTAAAGTTGTTGCAATTGTTGAGGGAGTGTTTATGGTGGTCACAGTAAGGGCAGTAAGGGGTTGAAGCAGGTTTGTTGGCTGTAGGTGCCATCTTTGTCTGTGGAGGTGCTTTCTCTGTGCCAAAAAGAATGGTGGCACTTTTAGCGAATGGTTTAGAGTCTCTGATTACTTCTCGTGTTCGTGCTGGATATCCACGACGACTAACTCCTACAAACCTTGATGTGTCCTCCTGCACTTGAATTTCATACTCTAGCCACTCTGACAGATCAAGAAGGGTAGGTATTGGCACCTGGTGAGGATGTGCAAAGCGTCGAAAACTTGACCTGAGGTCATGCGGCAGCTTCCCTAGGAGCCGGGAGACATGGGAGCCACACTGCAGCTCAAAGGTGCCCTTCCTTCCTAGTTGCTCTAGCATGCCAACGAGGGAACGAACCCTGAGGGCGAAGAGTCGGAAAGCTTTAATGTCCCCACTGGCCAAGTTTGGACCATCCATGAGCTCTGCTATACGTTGCAATGCGAGCTGATGAGGCTGACCGTATTGCTGATCCAGTGCTGCCATGGTCTTTGTGAAGGGTTGTTGTGAATGACTGTACGAATCAGCGATAAGCAGTGCTTCCTCAAGTTTGAGGTGGTCAGTGAGTATTTGGAATTTGAATCTCTCCGTGGCTGTAGCTGGGAGAATGTTTTCCAGTGCTATCTTAAGCCGCGAGAATTCTCTAGGATTCGAATGTACAAAGTCTGGAATTGTGGGGGACGGACCTCTGTACATCTGCTGTAGCTCCAGTGGAACTGGGCTGCATGCCCCGCCTGGCAGGTGAGAGCGTTGGGCGGATTCAAAAGGTTGAGGGGCTGTGTTCTCTGGCTTGTATGATGCATAACGACTCGGCCTATAAGGCGTCTCAGTTTTGGGGTAGGCTCTTTCCTCCCTTGAAGCATCCCACCTGTCCTGTTCGGAGTGTGACGTGTGGTGGGGAGAGTGTGGCTCTGCTCTAGGGATAGCTATTGTAGCTAGGAAAGCCTCAGAACTGTGCCTGGGCTGATCTGATTCAATAGACCTGAATCGTGGGGCTGACACTGGTGTGAAGCTCTTATCACTCTGTTGTGTTCTCAGCGAACTGCGTGGCGCTGGTACAGGTCGCGTAGGGGTGGCAGGAGGAGAAGACTGTGCTGCAGGCTGTCGCTGCTCCAGTTGGATCTGTAGCTGCTGCATTTGTCGTTTCAGCTGAGAAAGTTCTTGTGAGTACTGGTCTTTTTCTTGCTGCATCGTCTGTAGCAGATTGTCATGGGCAAGGCGGAGATCCCTGTTCTCACGCTGGAGGATGCTGGTTCCCCATGGTTCATTATCAGACCACTGTAAAGGCCGATCAGGCTTTTTGCACAGTAGCGATGTTGGAGTGATACCAGCTGCACCCTCTGGTTCTGGGCTGGAAGGCACTGTAGGATGAAACTGAGAGTGTGGTGACATGGGTTCTGGAAACAGTCTTGGGAGAGTGAAGCCACTGAGGTCATACTCTTCATATCGTGCGGGGAGGGCTGTCTTCCTCCTGACACGCACGACTGGCTCATCCTCTTCATACTGTGACATCTTTCCGTAGTAAATCTGGGGCTCCGGCTCGAAGGACCATGAAGAAATGTTGGCTAGTAGAAGCTGACTTTGCCGGTTGATAACAGACCCACTACAGAGCGTCCGGTGAGAGACTTATATCAGGTATTCGGGAATAACCCATTTATTGTCACCACAACTCAGTACACTGAATAACCTCGACTTTGCATGTGTGTGTGGTTTTCTATAAATACAGATATAAGAAAATAGATAAGTACAAATAACAATAACAAATAATAGTAGTCACAATAAACATAGTAACAGTAATCTCCACAATGAATATTACATTACTATGATTAATATAGTACAATAGGAACAAATGTGCCATTATATGGAAAAATGCACTGATAAAAAATGATTAATACTGAGCGGTTGAAATGCGACACCTATGCGTGCTGAGGAAAGAAATGGAGCCGCTCTGTCTAGCACATTAGTGCGCATGCGCCCAAAGCGTGCTTTAACTCTAGAAGTGAGCGATATATATATTACATAAACCATATAATGACTAAAAGGTACATAGATTATGTCTTCTAAATATAACAACGAAATACCTGAGGAAACTAGTATGCAAATATACACACGAACATCTTTACGAGCTAGTTCGCATCGTCACTCGCATACATTAACTTTTCCACATGCCGGGCTATTCAAACGTTTATAAACTAAATAGAAAGCAATGTAAAAACAGGCTGCTACTTACTTTACAGGCACGCACACAACTTTAGCAAAGGTAAACACTACACTAAAGTAGCTTGCATCCATCCGCTTTCCCGATCGTAAGACTCGATTCAGTGGGCGGGAGCACTGACCTGCACGTCTTTTCCGCGGCGCGGATTGGCCCGCTGGACGGATGCTGCGACGAATGCGTCAATTTTGTCATATAACAAAGGAACTGAGACACTTGAATATAACACTAATGGTGGCCTTTTTTACATAAACCATGTGATTGATTGGAATATGACTTAATTAATGTTAATATATTTTACATACTATTAATACTTTTTCATATTTTAATATTGTGCATACAAATAGAAGACATCCATTTTCAAGTCCGCTGCTCTCTTTCACAAAAAATATGTCCAGATTTAATAGTTTTGTCCTATTAAAAAAATTATAATATGACGTTTTCTAAATAGGATATTTAAAAACTGTTTATTTTTATCCTTCTAAACAAACTTCTCATACAAACAACCACAATAAATATGTCACAAGTTGTAGTCACAAGAATAACACAAAATGATGGACCACTTGTTTTAAGTTCCTGCTAGTTTTTTTTGTTTGCTGTGTTTCTCATAGAACTTTATCTGAAGCACACCATCTGTCTTACCTGAAACCTGGCTTCTGCCATTTTGGACCAGGAGCAATAAGAGAAGCCAGGATTGAGCACACGAGACCTTCATCTTCCAGCTGAGCGTGTATGGTGGTTTAGGTGTTTTTTGAGTCAAGCATTAGTGAAATACACACCCAGAAGCATAATTTCCTTGTACTACCCCATGTATGTCATTCAAGTTCAGCTATGGAAAATTAGGAATTTAACATTAACAGGGGTTTTCCCAATGCGTCTGAAGTAGAATACCAATCTTCCAAATAGGAGAAGAGTGCAGTACTCTTCTACTGAACACTGCTGTAAAAATCATTTTTACCTTAATGTTATTACCTGAATTTTATGTTCCTCACACAAAGCTAGTGCATGACTTGAGAAAACATGGAACATAACAAGGGTATTTGGAATTATTCACATTACACAAAACATTTTTATGGGTGCATTCTTCGGGGCATTCCACTAATCATTATCTGATGCCAAGTGTCATAGCAGAACATGCGTGCCAGGCTGCAGGTAAGAGGAAACTATCTAAAGAAAAAAAGAGTGTGGTTTGTGTGGAAAGATTACAAAATGCTCTGAAGGGATGTTATATAATATATGAAGAGTTCAGATGCAAAAGCCTCTAAATGCCATCTGACATTTTCTTCCAAAATGATCATTTTTATCAAGCTCGTATATTTAAATTAAGTAATTTCACTTAAATGACAATTAATGGGTAATTTTTCTTGCCATTTAAGTGAAATCATTGAACTTAAATATACGAGCTTGACAAAAATGATCATTTTAGAAAAAAAATTTCAGATGGCATTTAGAGGCTTTTGCATCTGAACTCTTCATATATATACCCAGAGCATTTTGTAATCTTTCCACACACACACACACGCACACACACACACACACACACACACACACACTCTTTTTTTAGATAGTTTCCTCTTACCTGCAGCCTGACACGCATGTTCTGTTATGACACTTGGCATCAGAAGAATAAGTTCTACTCCAAAGAATGCACCCATAAAAATGTTTTGTGTAATAATTACAAATATTTTCTATGAACAAAGTAGATAAAACATTAAAACTCAGAAGACATTTACAAAGTTTTATTAAACTACATTAAAACAAAGGTATTTATTAAATATGCAAAATAAGAGACCCACCGCATTCACAAGAATTGGTAAAGTAGAATTCTGGACTTTGTACTTAAAAAGGACAACACCAATTTGTTAAATAATTTTACACTTATGTAATGCTGAATAAAGATGAATACAAATATCTGAACAATTACATGATGTTGCCTACCTTTTGAAACAGGTTTTATTATATTATGGTATATTATCATGCATATCATTTGCTGAAAATGCAATTCTAGAATGCACTGCAATGAGCTTAGTGAAAAAATACATTTAAGATGGAAGACAGGAGAACATAATTGTAAATTATTTTAATTAATATAATTAATTCTAATTAAAAATAGAATAATTGGTAAGTATTTTATGTGCTATGTATTTTTGGTCATGATAGTATGTATTCTAACATCAAACTCTATTTGATGGCAATATTTTAAACTTAATAAAAAAAAAAACAATAAAAGTAAGCCTGCAACAGGCTTAAATCTGTTCCAGTGATGTTCTGTTTACTGGTGTTTTATGCTCTAGCGCCACCTACTGACAAACCACTTGAACTTGCAGTAACATGGGGATAGTCATAGCTGTAGTTCAGGAAATGAGAGTTTATGTAATATAGAACAGTGAATATCCACAAAGGTACTGATGCTCTAAAATATGGCAGATATTATATGATGTGGATGTCACGGTCAGTGATGTGTTATTTACATTAATATTTTCATAGCTGTGTCTTTCAAAACTCGTAGCCTGCAGTCTTCAGTCTGCTGTCTCCGCATGACGGCCTCCATGTGAAGAACAAACTAAACCCAGAGGAGAAGAATATTACTTACAACTCTCTAATCTAAGTGTACTGTTGCCAATGTTGTTTTTAATGCTAGTCATTGTTAATGTATTTTTTTAATGCTAGTTCAATGCCTTTTTTTTATTTTATAAACCCTTGAATTTTGGTACTGTAAAATTCTCACCGAGGAGCAGTTTTTAGTTGGCAATAAAGCAAATTTATGCAGGCAGTGATGCACTATTGAAAGTAATTTTAGGAACGAGTCTGACTTACACCTTGCACAGCCTTTAGCGTTGCTTCCTTATTAGCCCTGGAACGCACAAACACACGCATGCCTGTGGTCACTCTCTTCTTATCCGTGAATGATGTTGATGGTGAGGATGATCTAAATGAGGGGGAGGTCGGTGATGACGATAACAGGGGTGAGGATGATGAGAATGATTGAGAGTTTGCTGAGGATGAAGCTGGCGGTGTAGGGGAGGATGGTGTTGCTGGTGGTGAGGTTATTGATGACGACAATGGTGGGGATGGTGAATGTGGTGATGAAGATGGTGATGAGGATGGTGATGTGGATTGTGAAGTTAATAAGGATGCTGGAGAAAAAGGGGATGGCGATGTAGTTGGTAATGGTGGTGAAGTTGGTAATGGTGGTGAGGTTATTAACGAAGACAACAGTGGGGATGGTGGTATCGTTGGTGTTGCTAAAAGTGAGGATGATGAAGATGGTGGTATAGTTGGTGAAGTCAATGAGGATTGTGGAGAAAAAGGGGATGATGGTGTTGCTGCTGGGGATGATGAATGTAAAGTTATTGATGAAGACAATGATGGTGAATTTGGTGCTGAGGTTAGTGATGATGGTGGTATTATTGGTGTTGCTGAAAGTGAGGATGATGAAGATGGTGGTGTAGTTGGTAAAGTCAATGAGGATTGTGGAGAAAAAGGAAATGATGGTGTTTTTGTTGTTGGTGATGAGATTATTGATGATGATAATGGTAAGGATAATGAAGTAGGTTGTGACGTTGGTGATGATAATGCTGAGGATGATGAAAAAGAGGTTGTTGTTGATGAAGAGGATACTGATGATGACAGTGCTGATGGAGTCGATGGAAATGATACTTGAGTTAGCAGTGATGAAGATGGTGGAGTATTTGCTGGTGTTGATGGTGAAGATGATGAGGGTACCAGTGAGGATGGTGAGGATTGATGAGGTGAGCTTGATGAAGAAGAAAAGTATGATGTAAATGTTGGTGATGAAGATGGTGGGGATGGTGATGAAGGCTGTGAGTTTGCTGATGATGGGAAGAATGAGGAAGATGATGTAGAGGTTGCTGATAGTAAGGGCTGTGCTTGTTGGGTTGATGATGATGAAGATAGTGGGAATAATGAAGATGGTGCTATGGATGATGAAGATGGTGCAGATGATAGTGTTGAAGATGATGATAATGAAGACAATAGTGGGACTGATGAAGATGGTCCTGAGGATGGTGACGATGATGAGAATGGCGTGGAAGATAGTATTGAAGACGTTGTTGATGATGATGTTTGTGGTGTGGATGGCTGAGAATGCTGTGAGTTTGATGATGATGGTAAGAATGAGGAAGATGATGTAGAGGTTGCTGATAGTAAGGGCTGTGCTTGTTGGGTTGATGATGATGATGAAGATAGTGGGACTAATGAAGATGGTGCTATGGATGATGAAGATGGTGCAGATGATAGTGTTGAAGATGAGGATGATGATGATAATGAAGACAATAGTGTGACTGATGAAGATGGTCCTGAGGATGGTGACGATGATGAGAATGGCGTGGAAGATAGTATTGAAGACTTTGTTGATAATGATAATGATGTTTGTGGTGTGGATGGCTGAGAATGCTGTGAGTTTGATGATGATGGTAAGGATGAGGAAGATGATGTGGAGGTTGCTGATAGTGAGGGCCGTGCTGGTGGGGTTGATGATGATGGTAAGGATGAGGAAGATGATGTGGAGGTTGCTGATGGTGAGGGCTGTGCTGGCGGGGTTGATGATGAAGTTAGTGTGCTTGATGAAGATGCTGCTATGAATGGTGAAGATGCTGGAGATGATAGCATTGAAGATGTTGTTGATGATAATGATGATGTTAATGATGGTGATGAAGATGGTAAAGATGATGAATATGGTGCAGATGATAGTGTTGAAGAAGATGATGACAATAGTGCGACTGATGAAGATGGTGCTGCTGACAATGGTGAAGATGATGAAGATGGTGCTGTTGATGGTATTGAAGATGTTGATGATGACGATGTTAATGTTGGTGATGAAGATGGCGTGAATGAGGATGATGAAGCCTGTGAGGTTGATGTTGATGGTAAGAACGAGGAAGATGATGTAGAGGTTGCTGATAGTAAGGGCTGTGCTGGTGGGGTTGATGATGTTGTTAGTGGGACTGATGAAGATGCTGCTATGAATAGTGAAGATGGTGGAGAAGATGATAGCATTGAAGATGTTGTTGATGATGATGATGATGTTAATGATGGTGATGAAGATGGTAAAGAATATGGTGCAGATGATAGTGTTGAAGAAGATGATGATGACAATAGTGCGACTGATGAAGATGGTGCTGTTGATGGTATTGAAGATGTTGATGAAAACAATGTCAATGTTGGTGATGAAGATGGTGTGAATGATGACAAAGGCTGTGAGTTTGATGTTGATGGTAAGAATGAGGAAGATGATGTAGAGGTTGCTGATAGTAAGGGCTGTGCTTGTTGGGTTGTTGATGATGATGATGAAGATAGTGGGACTAATGAAGATGGTGCTATGAATGATGAAGATGGTGCAGATGATAGTGTTGAAGATGATGATGATGATGATAATGAAGACAATAGTGGGACTGATGAAGATGGTCTTGAGGATGGTGACGATGATGAGAATGGAGTGGAAGATAGTATTGAAGACTTTGTTGATGATGATGTTTGTGGTGTGGATGGCTGTGAATGCTGTGAGTTTGATGATGATGGTAAGGATGAGGAAGATGATGTGGAGGTTGCTGATAGTGAGGGCTGTGCTGGTGGGGTTGATGATGATGTTAGTGGGACTGATGAAGATGCTGCTATAAATGGTGAAGATGCTGGAGATGATAGCATTGAAGATGTTGTTGAGGATGATGCTAATGATGGTGATGAAGATGGTAAAGATGATGAATATGGTGCAGATGATAGTGTTGAAGAAGATGATGATGACAATAGTGCGACTGATGAAGATGGTGCTGCTGACAATGGGGAAGATGATGAAGATGGTGCTGTTGATGGTATTGAAGATGTTAATGATAACGATGTTAATGTTGGTGATGAAGATAGTGGGGATGGTAATGTAGGCTGTGAGTTTGATGTTGATGGTAAGAATGAGGAAGATGATGTAGAGGTTGTTGATAGTAAGGGCTGTGGTTGTTGGGTTGATGATGAAGATAGTGGGACTAATGAAGATGGTGCTATGGATAAAGGCTGTGAGTTTGATGTTGATGGTAAGAATGAGGAAGATGATGTGGAGGTTGCTGATGGTGAGGGCTGTGCTGGTGGGGTTGATGATGATGATGTTAGTGGGACTGATGAAGATGCTGCTATAAATGGTGAAGATGCTGGAGATGATAGCATTGAAGATGTTGTTGATGATGATGTTAATGATGGTGATGAAGATGGTAAAGAATATGGTGCAGATGATAGTGTTGAAGAAGATGATGATGACAATAGTGCGACTGATGAAGATGGTGCTGCTGACAATGGTGAAGATGATGAAGATGGTGCTATTGATGGTATTGAAGATGTTGATGATAACAATGTCAATGTTGGTGATGAAGATGGTGTGAATGATGACGAAGTCTGTGAGTTTGATGTTGATGGTAAGAATGAGGAAGATGATGTAGAGGTTGCTGATAGTAAGGGCTGTGCTTGTTGGGTTGATGATGATGAAGATATTGGGACTAATGAAGTGGGTGCTATGGATGATGAAGATGGTGCAGATGATAGTGTTGAGGATGATGATGATGATGATGATGATGATAATGAAGACAATAGTGGGACTGATGAAGATGGTCCTGAGGACGGTGACGATGATGAGAATGGCGTGGAAGATAGTATTGAAGACGTTGTTGATGATGATGTTTGTGGTGTGGATGGCTGTGAATGCTGTGAGTTTGATGATGATGGTAAGGATAAGGAAGATGATGTGGAGGTTGCTGATAGTGAGGGCTGTGCTGGTGGGGTTGATGATGATGTTAGTGGGACTGATGAAGATGCTGCTATAAATGGTGAAGATGCTGGAGATGATAGCATTGAAGATGTTGTTAAGGATGATGCTAATGATGGTGATGAAGATGGTAAGGATGATGAATATGCTGCAGATGACAGTGTTGAAGAAGATGATGATGACAATAGTGCGACTGATGAAGATGGTGCTGCTGACAATGGTGAAGATGATGAAGATGGTGCTGTTGATGGTATTGAAGATGTTGATGATAACGATGTTAATGTTGGTGATGAAGATGGTGTGAATGAGGATGATGAAGGCTGTGAGTTTGATGTTGATGGTAAGAATGAGGAAGATGATGTAGAGGTTGCTGATAGTAAGGGCTGTGCTTGTTGGGTTGATGATGAAGATAGTGGGACTAATGAAGATGGTGCTATGGATGAAGGCTGTGAGTTTGATGTTGATGGTAAGAATGAGGAAGATGATGTGGAGGTTGCTGATGGTGAGGGCTGTGCTGGTGGGGTTGATGGTGATGGTAAGGATGAGGAAGATGATGTGGAGGTTGCTGATGGTGAGGGCTGTGCTGGTGGGGTTGATGATGATGATGTTAGTGGGACTGATGAAGATGCTGCTATGAATGGTGAAGATGCTGGAGATGATAGCATTGAAGATGTTGTTGATGATGATGATGATGTTAATGATGGTGATGAAGATGGTAAAGAATATGGTGCAGATGATAGTGTTGAAGAAGATGATGATGACAATAGTGCGACTGATGAAGATGGTGCTGCTGACAATGGTGAAGATGATGAAGATGGTGCTGTCGATGGTATTGAAGATGTTGATGATAACGATGTCAATGTTGGTGATGAAGATGGTGTGAATGATGACAAAGTGTGTGAGTTTGATGTTGATGGTAAGAATGAGGAAGATGATGTAGAGGTTGCTGATAGTAAGGGCTGTGCTTGTTGGGTTGATGATGATGAAGATATTGGGACTAATGAAGATGGTGCTATGTATGATGAAGATGGTGCAGATGATAGTGTTGAGGATGATGATGATGATGATGATGATGATAATGAAGACTGGGGGGACTGTGGGACTGATGAAGATGGTCCTGAGGATGGTGACGATGATGAGAATGGCGTGGAAGATAGTATTGAAGACGTTGTTGATGATGATGTTTGTGGTGTGGATGGCTGTGAATGCTGTGAGTTTGATGATGATGGTAAGGATGAGGAAGATGATGTGGAGGTTGCTGATAGTGAGGGCTGTGCTGGTGGGGTTGATGATGATGTTAGTGGGACTGATGAAGATGCTGCTATAAATGGTGAAGATGCTGGAGATGATAGCATTGAAGATGTTGTTGAGGATGATGCTAAAGATGGTGATGAATATGGTGCAGATGATAGTGTTGAAGAAGATGATGATGACAATAGTGCGACTGATGAAGATGGTGCTGCTGACAATGGGGAAGATGATGAAGATGGTGCTGTTGATGGTATTGAAGATGTTGATGATAACGATGTCAATGTTGGTGATGAAGATGGTGTGAATAATGACAAAGGCTGTGAGTTTGATGTTGATGCTAAGAATGAGGAAGATGATGTAGAGGTTGCTGATAGTAAGGGCTGTGCTTGTTGGGTTGATGATGATGATGATGATGATGATGAAGATAGAGGGACTAATGAAGATGGTGCTATGGATGACGAAGGTGGTGCAGATGATAGTGTTGAAGATGATGATGATGATAATGAAGACAATAGTGGGACTGATGAAGATGGTCCTGAGGATGGTGACGATGATGAGAATGGCGTGGAAGATAGTATTGAAGACTTTGTGGATAATGATAATGATGTTTGTGGTGTGGATGGCTGAGAATGCTGTGAGCTTGATGATGATGGTAATGATGAGGAAGATGATGTGGAGGTTGCTGATAGTGAGGGCCGTGCTGGTGGGGTTGATGATGATGGTAAGGATGAGGAAGATGATGTGGAGGTTGCTGATGGTGAGGGCTGTGCTGGCGGGGTTGATGATGAAGTTAGTGTGCTTGATGAAGATGCTGCTATGAATGGTGAAGATGCTGGAGATGATAGCATTGAAGATGTTGTTGATGATAATGATGATGTTAATGATGGTGATGAAGATGGTAAAGATGATGAATATGGTGCAGATGATAGTGTTGAAGAAGATGATGACAATAGTGCGACTGATGAAGATGGTGCTGCTGACAATGGTGAAGATGATGAAGATGGTGCTGTCGATGGTATTGAAGATGTTGATGATAACAATGTTAATGTTGGTGATGAAGATGGTGTGAATGATGACAAAGGCTGTGAGTTTGATGTTGATGGTAAGAATGAGGAAGATGATGTAGAGGTTGCTGATAGTAAGGGCTGTGCTTGTTGTGTTGATGATGCTGATGAAGATAGTGGGACTAATGAATATGGTGCTATGGATAATGAAGATGGTGCAGATGATAGTGTTGAGGATGATGATGATGATGATAATGAAGACAATAGTGGGAGTGATGAAGATGGTCCTGAGGATGGTGACGATGATGAGAATGGCGTGGAAGATAGTATTGAAGACGTTGTTGATGATGATGTTTGTGGTGTGGATGGCTGTGAATGCTGTGAGTTTGATGATGATGGTAAGGATGAGGAAGATGATGTGGAGGTTGCTGATAGTGAGGGCTGTAGTGGTGGGGTTGATGATGATGGTAAGGATGAGGAAGATGATGTGGAGGTTGCTGATAGTGAGGGCTGTGCTGGTGGGGTTGATGATGATGTTAGTGGGACTGATGAAGATGCTGCTATAAATGGTGAAGATGCTGGAGATGATAGCATTGAAGATGTTGTTGAGGATGATGCTAATGATGGTGATGAAGATGGTAAAGATGATGAATATGGTGCAGATGATAGTGTTGAAGAAGATGATGATGACAATAGTGCGACTGATGAAGATGGTGCTGCTGACAATGGTGAAGATGATGAAGATGGTGCTATTGATGGTATTGAAGATGTTAATGATAAAGATGTTAATGTTGGTGATAAAGATAGTGGGGATGGTGATGTAGGCTGTGAGTTTGATGTTGATGGTAAGAATGAGGAAGATGATGTAGAGGTTGCTGATAGTGAGGACTGTGCTGGTGGGGTTGATGATAGAGATGATGATGAAAATGTTGAAACTGATAAAAATGGTGTTATTAATAGTATTGACGGTGATGAAGATGGTGTGGATGATAATGTTGAAGAAGCCAATAGTGGGACTGATGAAGATGGTGATGAGGATGGTGAAGATGATGATAGTGTTGTTGATAGTATTAAAGATGTTGATGATGGTAAAGATGAGGACGGTGTTAATGATGGCGCTGAAGATGGTGTTGATGATGATAATGAGGGTGACAAACTAGTTGGTGTTGAGGATGATAGAGATGATGACAGTGTAAATGATGGTATTGAAGATTGTGTAGATGATAGTAATAATGGTGATGATGACGAAGACAGTGGGGCATGTGAAGATGGTGCTGAGTATGGTGAAGATGATAATGATGATGTTAATTTTGGTGATGAAGATGGTGTGAGTGATAGTATTGAAGAAGAAGATGATGACGATAGTGAGACTGTTGAAAATTGTTCTGACAATGGTGAAGATGAAGATGGCGTTGATGGTGATAAAGGCTGTGAGTTTGCTGAGGATGAGGAAGATGATGTAGAGGTTGCTGATAGTGAGGGCTGTGCTTGTTGGGTTGATGATGATGATGGTGGGCCTAATGAAAATGGTGCTATGGATGATGAAGATGATAGGACTGAAGATGTTGATGATCTTGTTAATTTTGGTGATGAAGATGGTGAAGATGATAGTTTTGAAGATGATGAGGATGGCATGGAAGATAGTATTGAAGACGTTGTTGATGATGATGATGATGATGATGATGTTCGTGATGAAGATAGTGTGGATGGTGATGAAGGCTGTGAGTTTGCTGATGATGGTAAGGATAAGGAAGTTGATGCTGCTGATATTGAGAGCTGTGCTGGTGCGGTTGATGATGATGATATTAGTGGGAATGATGAAGATGGTCCTATGAACGGTGAAGATGGTGGAGATGATAGTATTGATGATGTTGTTGATGATGATGGTAATGTTGGTGATGGAGATGTGAAAGATGATGAAGATGGTGTAGCTGATAGTGTTGAAGAATAAGAAGATGACAATATTGTGACTGATGAAGACGGTGTTGATAAAGATATTAATGTTGGCGACGAAGAATGCAAAATTGATGATGGTGAAGGTTGGAGTGAAGTTGGTGGTATCGAGGATGATGATGACGGGGGTGAGGATGATGAAGATGTTAATGATGTGTATGATTTAGAGGAGGATGGTGGTGAGGTTAGTGATGATGATGATGGTGAGGATGAAGAAGGTTGTGACAATGGTGATGATGGTGAGGTTGCTGATGACAGTCTTGTGGTTGGTAATGATGATGAAGATGGCTGTATAGTTGGTGATATTAAAGATGGTAAGTATGATATAAGTTGTGTTGAGTTTGATGAAGATGGTGACATTGGTGATGATGATGGTGTGGATGATAATGCTGATTCTGCTGAGCTTGGTGAAGATGAAGAGGATCTGGTTGGTGACACAGCTGGTGAAGATGGGATCGTGGTTAGTGAGGATGATGACCGTGGTGAGGTCTGTGATGGTGGGGTTGGTGCTGAAGACCATTGGGATGTTGGAAATAGTGGCAAGGCTGTTAGTGAAGATGATGGTAAATAATTTGAGAATGGTGGTGTGAAAACAAAAAATATGTATGAGTCTAATGCTGTCTGATTTAATAAAACAAGTTAAACTAATTTAAGCAATTTTGGAATATTATAGATTCTGTAATTATTTCTTCATGGATTCCCAGTCTAACACCAATGCCTTTGTAAATTTTGTCACACATTTTGTTCTGCCCACTAGTGGTTAAATAGGAGAACTGTTGTTGGGCAGATTAGCTTCCTTGACTGACATTTTGATACAGTGCACAAAAATCACAGTTTCAATGTTTTCCTGTCTCTTAATATAGAATCTGAACTCACATACAAATGATGCAGACTGTTTTTTGGTAAATTATACTAATAATTGCAATAAATTAGTTAATATTTATCTTCAAATAGTTAAAGTAGTCACCTGATAATGAGGTTATTGATGATGATGATGATGATGATGATGAGAATGATGTTGTTGGTGCAGGTGACAATGTTATTGAGATTGATGATGAAGATTGTGGGGTTGAAAATGATAGTGTGGATGATGATGTGGATAATGTTGGTGTGGATGATGGTGTTGAAGAAGAAGAAGATGATGACGATAGTGAGACTGATGAAGATGGTGCTGAGGAAGGTGTAGAAAATGAAGATGGTGTAAATGATAGCTTTGAGGATGTTGATGATGACGATGATGTTAATGTTGTTGATGAAGATGGTGGGGATGATGATGAAGGCTGTACATTTGCTGATGATGGTAAATATGAGGAAGATGATGTAGAGGTTGCTATTAGTGTGGCCTGTGCTGCTGGGGTTGATGATGACAATAGTGGGACTGATGAAGATGGTGGAGATGATAGTACTAAAGATGTTGATGATGATAATGATGTTAATGTTGGTGATGAATGCTGTGAATTTGTTGATGATGGTAAGGATGAGGAAGATGATGATAAAGAGGTAGATGATGAGAGCATTGCGGTTGGTGATGAAGATGGTGTGAATGTTGGTGATCGTGAAGATGGGGAGGATGGTGATGGAGTTTGTGGTAATGATGTTGATGATACTGATGAAGATGGTGAGGATGATAAAGGTTGGGTTGAGATTGATGATGATGGTGTGGATGATAATGCTGATTCTTCTGAGGTTGGCGAAGATGAAGAGGGTCTGATGATGGATGTTGAAGATGGTGAGGATGACTGTGGTGTCTGTGATGATGGTGAAGCTGGTGTTGAAGATTGTTGGGATGTTGGAAATGGTGGCAAGGCGGTTGATCCTGTTGGTAAATAGAATGATTCTATAGACATTGAGATTTGATGGTGAATTGGGACAGATGTGAATAATAATACATTATGTATTAATATGATGCAGTCTGATTCATCATTAAAAAAAGAGTAAACTATTTCAAGCAAGTTTTAATTGTTTACCTAGAATACCTTATCTCAAATCAAAACTACACAGCAACAGGGCTGCATACAAAACCTACTGTATTTTTTTGACTATCATGATTTTCTTGAGTGTATTTAGTCTTACGCTGAATGCATGTCTGATAGTAGTCAGCACAGCAGTCTCCGGCTGTGACGCAGTACTCATCACAGTAACACTCCTGTGTGCAACTGTCATTCCTGCCAGCACAGCAGAGCACTGTGGGTCCTGAACACAGGGCTGAAAGAAACAAGACCCGAGACAGGGCAGAGTTGAGTGCAGCTCTTACAATGATCAAAACGTAACAACATATACTTGGGGATCCAAATATAATGGATATATCAAGAGAAAACATCTTTTCACAGTTTTCAAATCAACACTTCTGGCAAGTTTTGTACCCCCAATTCTTCCCCTTGTGGTGCACATTGCTGCTTTGGGGCTATCTGAAATTATACCAAAATACCTTCTCATGCAGAGAAGAAAGAATTCAAATTAGTTGCTTTATTTTAAAGTTTCTGCTGCATATAAATACTATTTATATTTAAATTATATATATATATATATATATACATATACATATATATTTATAATACTACCAGTCAAAAGTTTTGGATCGGTAAGATTTTTTATTTTTTTTAAAGAAGTCTCTTATGCTCATCAAGGCTGCATTTTATTTGATAAAAAATACAAAAACAACAACTGTAATATTGTTAAATATTATGACAATTTTAAATAACTGTTTTCTATTTTAATATATTTTAAAATGGAATTTATTCCTATGATCGAAGCTGCATTTTCAGCATCATTACTCCAGTCTTCAGTGTCACATGATCTTTCAGAAATCATTCTAATATGTGGATTTGATGCTCAAAAACATTCATTATTATTAGCAATGTTGAAAACAATTTTTTTATGATTCTACGATGAATAGAAAGTTTAAAAGAACAGCATTTATTTGAAATATAATCTTTTGTAGCATTATAAATGTCATAAATTATCAACATCATTGATTAATTGAATGTATTGATTTATTTTATTTCTTTCCCCCCAAAAATAAAATAAAAATTTATATTGACCCCAAACATTTGAACTTTACTATATATTCACATAGAAAACAGCTGTTTTAAATTGTAATAATATTTCACAATATTACTGTTTTTTTGTATTTTTAATTAAATAAAATGTCAAATATTTGTTGACATATTAATGGTGAAATGATCATTTGTTATTAAATAAAACTGGAATAAAACTGGTAAGTCGGCTGTATGGAAGTGCTTCTTAAGTGAAGAGGAAGTGCCTATGTAACTGAAATCTAGACACAAAAAGATACATTCTGTTATAAAAGAAACACTTACATGTAGGCTATACTTTGGATGTTTTCTTTCCACTGGTTAAGAAAGCAAAATAGGTCAAAATCTCAAAACGTGAAAGTTTTTTTTTTACCTGTAGTTTCTCACAGAACATGTGTATGGCAGGTTTCCTGCAGTGTCATCTGACTTACCTGATGCCAGGTTCATGTTTCTTTGGTACAGGAGTAGAAAGACATGCCAGAAATGGACAACTAAAACCTTCATCCTCTTCAGGTACGCGTGTCCAATTCAACTGATTTTCTTGCCATTTAACTGTTTTCTACTTGATCTGCTGAGTTTTCTTGAGGCTACATACTGATTGCATCTTGCTCAGCAGGTTTGTCATATGTCATTACACTTAATAGTCTGAAACTATGACAGGAATGCTGGAAAACAGTGATGTCGTGATTTTGTAAGTTAAAACAAGTTAAATAAGCAACAGGACCATCACAAGGTTTTATTGAATTCAATTTGAATGTTTATTAAATGTTTATAAATTAAGTCAAAAACATGTTTGTCTCACATATTACGTGCAAACACACACACACACACAAAAAACTTTTGACAAAAATAAGTTTGCTAGTTTTCAAATGATAATAGATAAAATTGTTGAAAATTAAAATAAGCATATGGATGTTTTGTGGATGTTCAAACATTAGTGGAACATTTTCATAGTTAATGTAATGGAGGAACTAGGAGACCACTTGAGAAGAAAATTCACACAGACATATACATTAGGGGTTAACACCTTATCTATAAAAAGCTGATAAGCATTGTGTTGTACATATAATGAAATGACTATGTTAGGAAGTATCGGTTATATATAACAGTCCCTAAGTAAACAACACCAACACACCCAGCTCATTAAATGATCTTGCTAAAACTAGTGTGAGTGATTGATGAGTTATGATGTAGAGGAGGAGGTCCATATAAACAGGTGCTGTCAGCTGATTGTTTGCCACGTATAAAGTATGTTTCAGGTCAAGCCTGAGAATGTTTTTTTAATAGCAAGGACCGCCTGCAAATCAAAGATGAAAGAAGAACAATCAGACAGGTGTCACTCATGTTTGTAAAAAAACAAACAAACAAAAAAAAAACACAACATTGGCCAACATCACTGGTTCATAAACAATCTAAAATTGTGAATCAGTAAATGCCATTTTAACCTAAAACCTCTCTTAACCAATTAAAATGATGAAAAAAATAAAACGCATACTAATATTTTTATTATAGGTGACTCACAATATTATAATCAAAGCATTTTTAGTTTGATTTCTAAGAACAGTTTCCATAATTTCACATCATATCCTATTCCTATATGAACAGATATTAATAAACCAAAACACAGCTAATGTCTTACATAAATGTGTAACTGATTAACATGATCACATTTTAGTTTTCTGTCATATACAAGAAGATAGAATAATGTTTTCTTTGCCTGTACTGAGGCATCTGGAATGGAAGCTTGTTTCCACAAAAAAAGAGAAAAAAAAGGTATGCAATTGCGAGTTGTAAAGTTTTTTCTCAGAATTGCATGATATAAAGTCGCAATTGTGAGTTATAAAGTCAGAATTGCAAGGGAAAAAAGTCAGAATTGCAGAATATCTCACAATTCAAAAGTCAGAATTGTGAGATAAAAGGTCTCAACTATCTTTTAAATTTTATTTTTTTCCCCGTGGCGGAAACAAGCTTCCATAATCTGGTGTTGAAGAATTACTCTGACAACTTATTTGCCGTTAATCAATTAGTAATCATATTAAATAAATTGCACAATATGGTTAAGATTGCAACTAGAAATGTTGCGCATTTTCACATTTTGTTATGTTGCAGCCTTATGCTAAAATGCTTTTTAATACATTTTTTCACATCAAACTATACTGACAAAGCAAACACCGGATTTGGTAAGGCTGATGTGAAAAAAAAATGAATAAGAAAGGCTCTCTACCTTCTTCTTGCTGTGCTTTTGTCATCTGTTGCTTTCCAGTTGTCTCCAAACTCTCTTATTTTGTACCTCCTCCCCGTTTGACATTATCATGCTATTTTTGAGTGTACCGTCAGAATGTCCATACGTGTCAGAGAGAGAGATCTCTGCAGAGTCAGAGAGAGATTTCACTGTGATGCTTAAGTACTGAAGTTACATAATTTGACTAAATCTATTTATTACTCTTAACACATTAGGTTGATTTTACAGAGTAGGAACATACCGCTACAGGCTCCTCTGTGCAGTGACACGTCATCAATGGCAACATCTGACCGGGCTGAGCTTCCTCTACGCCCCTCAAAGATCACCTGATACACCAATAACAGATTTTATTCTTTCCTAAACGCCATTGCTCAAACATTTTTCTTTGTACACTTTTTTTTTTTTTCTGGCAAAATTTAATTAACATAGAAAAAGTTCAGGGCCGAATTTCCCAAAAACATTGTGAGCCTAAGTTGATCATAAACCAATTGCATCAAAAGACTCTACGATCTACATTTACATTTATGCATTTGGCAGACGCTTTTATCCAAAGCGACTTACATTGCATTTCAAGGTACACATTTACATTCTTATCAGATCTACTTAGGCTTACGATGCTTTTGGGAAACACGGCTCAAGCCTACCCCTCAAAGTAAACTGATACAAATTTGATTGTTTACTTTAACATGTAGAGCTATTGAAGAACGTTTTGATAGTTCTCAAATATTTACTGACCTGGAACTTAACATCTGGTCTCAGGTCCACCTGTGCAAGATGCCACATGTTTCCTTGGTCTTCTCTCTTCCTCCACACCTCTTTGGCCTCATTGCCATATTGCAGAAGGTAGACGCTCAGTCCCATGGTCCAGCTGGATCCATGCATGTGGTACCAGAACTGAAGACACTGAGGTTGAGGGTCAGCACATTGTGCACTGAGGAGACGGGCCGTGTCGCCATGGACAGCACTGTCACCCTCAATGTACATATAAAAACCACCTGGAAATGCGGATCAGGAGACTCTTGAGCAGAGAAATTGTCATAGAATATGTGCAACAGAAATATTTATTTATTGATGTGAAATAATTGTTATTTTAATGGTGGTATGACCTCAGGACCTAGAAAACCAAACCTACTTCCTGTTGTGTGGTCAGAGGAGGGGCCAGTCATTGATGTAGGGGTGGAGCCTCTGTGTCTTGTCCAATCAAAAACATCAGTTGCCAACTGAGTCCAAGCGCAAATGTCCCTTTCAAAATCACAGTTGATGCCACAATCTGGAGGAAAGAAGAAAATTTAATTGACTATTTCATTACTTTCTTTGTGAAAACAATGGAAGATGCAGAAAAGTAATCATGGGAGTGTTATTTTCTGGCACCATCAATCATAACAGAATGTGATCACACTGCAGTGGTGGATAGTGAACTTACACGCTGAGGCGTTTGGTATTTCTCTACGTTGGATGGGTGCCGATTGTGGCAATGGGACTGAAGGTGGAGCCGCCTGGTTTGGTAAATCTGAAAGATATTTACAGTTCTTAAAACATTAAGTTAAGAACCCTTTAAAAAAAAAAAAAAAAAAAAAAATTCATTCTAATGAATAAGTTGACATGTTTTAAAGCTGAATGTTTTTACAAAGGTCCGCTACAGAGTAGGAACATACCACTACAGGCTCCTCTGTGCAGGGAAACATCATCAATGGCAACATCTGACCGGGCTGAGCTTCCTCTACGCCCCTCAAAGATCACCTGATTGAACAACAACATAGATTAGATTAGTTATTATAGTGTTGTTTGTTTACTTTAACATGTAAAGCATTTGAAGAACATTTTGATAGTTCTCAAATATTTACTGACCTGGAACTTAACATCTGGTCTCAGGTCCACCTGTGCAAGATGCCACATGTTTCCTTGGTCTTCTCTCTTCCTCCACACCTCTTTGGCCTCATTGCCATATTGTAGAAGGTAGACGCTCAGTCCCATGGTCCAGCTGGATCCATGCACGTGGTACCAGAACTGAAGACACTGAGGTTGAGGGTCAGCACATTGTGCACTGAGGAGACGGGCCGTGTCGCCATGGACAGCACTGTCACCCTCGATGTACATATAAAAACCACCTGGAAAAGAGGTTGTGCAACACAGCTTTTGATTTGATGTGAAATAATTTCTATAACTTTAATGTTGAATATGGTGGATTGACCTCAAGATCTAGAAAACAAGACCTACTTCCTGTTGTGTGGTCAGAGGAGGGGCCAGTCATTGATGTAGGGGTGGAGCCTCTGTGTCTTGTCCAATCAAAAACATCAGTCGCCAACTGAGTCCAAGCACAAATGTCCCTTTCAAAATCACAGTTTATGCCACAAGCTAGAGGAAAGAAGCACATTTTATTAATGATTTCATTAGTCTCTTTCTGAAAACAATGGAAGATGCAGAGAATTAATCATGGGAGTGTTATTTTCTGGCGCCATCAGTCACAACAGAATGTGATCACACTGCAGTGGTGGATCGTGAACTTACACTCTGATGAGGTGTTTGGTATTTCTGCAGTTTGGATGGGTGCAGGTTGTGGCGTTGTTGCAGCTGGTGGCAATGGGACTGAAGGTGGAGCCACCTGATTTGGTAGATCTGAAAGATGTGTAAAACTCTAACATTAAGTTAAGAGCCTTTATTATGCAAAACGTAGCAGTTGTTCAACTGAATATGTTCACTTATTCAGTTAGTAAAAACATTTAGATTTAAAATCAAGAATTGACTAAGGTCCGCTACAGAGTAGGAACATACCACTACAGGCTCCTCTGTGCAGTGACACGTCATCAATGGCAACATCTGACCGGGCTGAGCTTCCTCTACGCCCCTCAAAGATCACCTGATACACCAATAACAAAGATTACTGTAGATTATATTTTAGAGTTTAGTATGTTCTCTTTTAACGTGTATTATTCAAAGAAGAATAAGTAGTTAGTTTTTACTTTTACTGACCTGGAACTTAACATCTGGTCTCAGGTCCACCTGTGCAAGATGCCACATGTTTCCTTGGTCTTCTCTCTTCCTCCACACCTCTTTGGCCTCATTGCCATATTGCAACAGGTAGACGCTCAGTCCCATGGTCCAGCTGGATCCATGCATGTGGTACCAGAACTGAAGACACTGAGGTTGAGGGTCAGCACATTGTGCACTGAGGAGACGGGCCGTGTCGCCATGGACAGCACTGTCACCCTCAATGTACATATAAAAACCACCTGGAAATGTGGATCAGGAGACTCTTGAGCAGAGAAATTGTCATGGAATATGTGCAACAGAAATATTTATTGATGTGAAATAATTGTTATTTGAATGGTGGTATGACCTCAGGACCTAGAAAACCAAACCTACTTCCTGTTGTGTGGTCAGAGGAAGGACCAGTCATTGATGTAGGCGTGGAGCCTCTTTGTCTTGTCCAATCAAAAACATCAGTTGCCAACTGAGTCCAAGTGCAAATGTCCCTTTCAAAATCACAGTTGATGCCACAAGCTGGAGGAAAGAAGCAAATTTAATTTACTATTTCATTACTTTCTTTGTGAAAACAATGGAAGATGCAGAAAATGAATCATGGGAGTGTTATTTTCTGGCACCATCAATCATAACAGAATGTGATCACACTGCAGTGGTGGATAGTGAACTTACACGCTGAGGGGTTTGGTATTTCTCTACGTTGGATGGGTGCCGATTGTGGCAATGGGACTGAAGGTGGAGCCGCCTGGTTTGGTAAATCTGAAAGATATTTACAGTTCTTAAAACATTAAGTTAAGAACCCTTTTGAAAAGTGTAAAAAAATAAAATAATTCTAATGAATAAGTTGACATGTTTTAAAGCTGAATGTTTTTTACAAAGGGCTGCCATAGAGTAGGAACATACCACTACAGGCTCCTCTGTGCAGTGAGACATCATCAATGGCAACATCTGACCGGGCTGAGCTTCCTCTACGCCCCTCAAAGATCACCTGATTGAACAATAACATAGATTAGATTAGTTATTATAGTGTTGTATGTTTACTTTAACATGTAGAGCTATTGAAGAACATTTTGATAGTTCTCAAATATTTACTGACCTGGAACTTAACATCTGGTCTCAGGTCCACCTGTGCAAGATGCCACATGTTTCCTTGGTCTTCTCCCTTCCTCCACACCTCTTTGGCCTCATTGCCATATTGCAACAGGTAGACGCTCAGTCCCATGGTCCAGCTGGAACCATGCATGTGGTACCAGAACTGAAGACACTGAGGTTGAGGGTCAGCACATTGTGCACTGAGGAGACGGGCCGTGTCGCCATGGACAGCACTGTCACCCTCAATGTACATATAAAAACCACCTGGAAATGTGGATCAGGAGACTCTTGAGCAGAGAAATTGTCATGGAATATGTGCAACAGAAATATTTATTGATGTGAAATAATTGTTATTTGAATGGTGGTATGACCTCAGGACCTAGAAAACCAAACCTACTTCCTGTTGTGTGGTCAGAGGAGGGGCCAGTCATTGATGTAGGGGTGGAGCCTCTTTGTCTTGTCCAATCAAAAACATCAGTTGCCAACTGAGTCCAAGTGCAAATGTCCCTTTCAAAATCACAGTTGATGCCACAAGCTGGAGGAAAGAAGCAAATTTAATTTACTATTTCATTACTTTCTGTCTGGAAACAATGGAAGATGCAGAAAATTAATCATGGGAGTGTTATTTTCTGGCACCATCAATCATAACAGAATGTGATCACACTGCAGTGGTGGATAGTGAACTTACACTCTGAGGGGTTTGGTATTTCTCTACGTTGGATGGGTGCCGATTGTGGCAATGGGACTGAAGGTGGAGCCGCCTGGTTTGGTAAATCTGAAAGATATTTACAGTTCTTAAAACATTAAGTTAAGAACCCTTTTGAAAAGTGTAAAAAAAAAAATCATTCTAATGAATAAGTTGACATGTTTTAAAGCTGAATGTTTTTACAAAGGGCTGCCACAGAGTAGGAACATACCACTACAGGCTCCTCTGTGCAGGGAAACATCATCAATGGCAACATCTGACCGGGCTGAGCTTCCTCTACGCCCCTCAAAGATCACCTGATTGAACAATAACATAGATTAGATTAGTTATTATAGTGTTGTATGTTTACTTTAACATGTAGAGCTATTGAAGAACATTTTGATAGTTCTCAAATATTTACTGACCTGGAACTTAACATCTGGTCTCAGGTCCACCTGTGCAAGATGCCACATGTTTCCTTGGTCTTCTCTCTTCCTCCACACCTCTTTGGCCTCATTGCCATATTGTAGAAGGTAGACGCTCAGTCCCATGGTCCAGCTGGATCCATGCATGTGGTACCAGAACTGAAGACACTGAGGTTGAGGGTCAGCACATTGTGCACTGAGGAGACGGGCCGTGTCGCCATGGACAGCACTGTCACCCTCAATGTACATATAAAAACCACCTGTAAAAGAAGTTGTGCAACACAGCCTTTGATTTGATGTAAAATAATTTCTAAAACTTTAATGTTGAATATGGTGGATTGACCTCAAGATCTCGAAAACAAGACCTACTTCCTGTTGTGTGGTCAGAGGAGGGGCCAGTCATTGATGTAGGGGTGGAGCCTCTGTGTCTTGTCCAATCAAAAACATCAGTCGCCAACTGAGTCCAAGCACAAATGTCCCTTTCAAAATCACAGTTCATGCCACAAGCTAGAGGAAAGAAGCACATTTTATTAATGATTTCATTAGTCTCTTTCTGAAAACAATGGAAGATGCAGAGAATTAATCATGGGAGTGTTATTTTCTGGCATCATCAGTCACAACAGAATGTGATCACACTGCAGTGGTGGATCGTGAACTTACACTCTGATGAGGTGTTTGGTATTTCTGCAGTTTGGATGGGTGCAGGTTGTGGCGTTGTTGCAGCTGGTGGCAATGGGACTGAAGGTGGAGCCACCTGATTTGGTAGATCTGAAAGATGTGTAAAACTCTAACATTAAGTTAAGAGCCTTTATTATGCAAAACGTAGCAGTTGTTCAACTGAATAGGTTCCCTTATTCAGTTAGTCAATTCTTGATTTTAAATCTAAATGTTTTTACTAAGGTCCGCTACAGAGTAGGAACATACCACTACAGGCTCCTCTGTGCAGTGACACGTCATCAATGGCAACATCTGACCGGGCTGAGCTTCCTCTACGCCCCTCAAAGATCACCTGATACACCAATAACAAAGATTACTGTAGATTATATTTTAGAGTTTAGTATGTTCTCTTTTAACATGTGTATTATTCAAAGAAGAATAAGTAGTTCGTTTTTACTTTTACTGACCTGGAACTTAACATCTGGTCTCAGGTCCACGTGTGCAAGATGCCACATGTTTCCTTGGTCTTCTCTCTTCCTCCACACCTCTTTGGCCTCATTGCCATATTGTAGAAGGTAGACGCTCAGTCCCATGGTCCAGCTGGAACCATGCATGTGGTACCAGAACTGAAGACACTGAGGTTGAGGGTCAGCACATTGTGCACTGAGGAGACGGGCCGTGTCGCCATGGACAGCACTGTCACCCTCAATGTACATATAAAAACCACCTGGAAATGCGGATCAGGAGACTCTTGAGCAGAGAAATTGTCATAGAATATGTGCAACAGAAATATTTATTTATTGATGTGAAATAATTGTTATTTTAATGGTTGTATGACCTCAGGACCTAGAAAACCAAACTTACTTCCTGTTGTGTGGTCAGAGGAGGGGCCAGTCATTGATGTAGGGGTGGAGCCTCTGTGTCTTGTCCAATCAAAAACATCAGTTGCCAACTGAGTCCAAGCGCAAATGTCCCTTTCAAAATCACAGTTGATGCCACAAGCTGGAGGAAAGAAGCAAATTTAATTTACTATTTCATTACTTTCTTTGTGAAAACAATGGAAGATGCAGAAAATGAATCATGGGAGTGTTATTTTCTGGCACCATCAATCATAACAGAATGTGATCACACTGCAGTGGTGGATAGTGAACTTACACGCTGAGGGGTTTGGTATTTCTCTACGTTGGATGGGTGCCGATTGTGGCAATGGGACTGAAGGTGGAGCCGCCTGGTTTGGTAAATCTGAAAGATATTTACAGTTCTTAAAACATTAAGTTAAGAACCCTTTTGAAAAGTGTAAAAAAATAAAATAATTCTAATGAATAAGTTGACATGTTTTAAAGCTGAATGTTTTTTACAAAGGGCTGCCATAGAGTAGGAACATACCACTACAGGCTCCTCTGTGCAGTGAGACATCATCAATGGCAACATCTGACCGGGCTGAGCTTCCTCTACGCCCCTCAAAGATCACCTGATTGAACAATAACATAGATTAGATTAGTTATTATAGTGTTGTATGTTTACTTTAACATGTAGAGCTATTGAAGAACATTTTGATAGTTCTCAAATATTTACTGACCTGGAACTTAACATCTGGTCTCAGGTCCACCTGTGCAAGATGCCACATGTTTCCTTGGTCTTCTCTCTTCCTCCACACCTCTTTGGCCTCATTGCCATATTGCAGAAGGTAGACGCTCAGTCCCATGGTCCAGCTGGATCCATGCATGTGGTACCAGAACTGAAGACACTGAGGTTGAGGGTCAGCACATTGTGCACTGAGGAGACGGGCCGTGTCGCCATGGACAGCACTGTCACCCTCAATGTACATATAAAAACCACCTGGAAAAGAAGTTGTGCAACACAGCTTTTGATTTGATGTGAAATAATTTCTATAACTTTAATGTTGAATATGGTGGATTGACCTCAAGATCTCGAAAACAAGACCTACTTCCTGTTGTGTGGTCAGAGGAAGGACCAGTCATTGATGTAGGGGTGGAGCCTCTGTGTCTTGTCCAATCAAAAACATCAGTCGCCAACTGAGTCCAAGCACAAATGTCCCTTTCAAAATCACAGTTCATGCCACAAGCTAGAGGAAAGAAGCACATTTTATTAATGATTTCATTAGTCTCTTTCGGAAAACAATGGAAGATGCAGATAATTAATCATAGGAGTGTTATTTTCTGGCATAATAAGTAACAACATTATGTGATCACACTGCAGTGGTGGATCGTGAACTTACACGCTGAGGTCTTTGGTATTTCTGCAGTTTGGATGGGTGCAGGTTGTGGCGTTGTTGGAGCTGGTGGCAATGGGACTGAGGGTGGAGCCACCTGGTTCGGTAATTCTGAAAGAGGTGTACAACTCTTAACAAATTAATTACGAACCTTTTTGCAAAACGTATTAGTCGTTCTACTGAATAGGCTGACTTGTTATTTTTAAATCTGAATGTTTTTACAAAGGGCTGCCACAGAGTAGGAACATACCACTACAGGCTCCTCTGTGCAGTGAAACATCATCAATGGCAACATCTGACCGGGCTGAGCTTCCTCTACGCCCCTCAAAGATCACCTGATTGAACAATAACATATGTCAGTAGATTAGCTCTAATAATTAAGTTTATTTTGAACATGGGCGTAGGTTTGGTCTCAGCTTTGGTGGGGACATCCCCCGCCCCCAATCCCCCCCCCAATCCCCCCCCCCCCCCAATCCCCCCCTCCCCAGCCGGGAATTATTTTGTTGTAAGATAAGTAACAGTGCTTTAATGGTGATTTCCTTTGTCATTTCTATTGTTCTCAATTGTAAGTCGTTGGATAAAAAGTGCCTGCTAAATGAATAAATGTAAATCTGTTGTGGTTTGATGCTGTCTTTCCTGCATACAAAATGGTTAATTAATTTTGTAGTCTATCCTATGGCTAGCAAGTTTAACCCTCCTACCAGATATTGTTATTTTGGATATTATCAATCAAATAATGATTTATTATATTTGAATAACCAACAGTGTTAACTTTTGCCTTTTTAACATTGCCAACATGTTTTTCCAGCCCATGTGTCTAAGCAAGTAGGCTACACTCACAAATACATTACATAAACAGAATGTAGAAACGAAAAATGTCTCAGATGATCCACTGTTTATGACGGCAAGATTCTAAGTTAAGGTAGGCTAATTAACATTCAGTGACTTGCTAACGTAGCATTCTATCATGATAGTGCGACTTCTATGAGTCTATCTGTGCTGCACACCCCTAATTAATGCTCCTAACCTTGAAAGATTGCAGAAGCTTCAAGCTAGGTTTAACTGTAACAATATCCTGGGTAACCAGGATCACCAGTTAATACTATTTTCCACTAGAATCTGCATTTGAAAGCCTGGTCAGTCACTACTACTGCTAGTTATTTTTGCCTACTTACACTCTGCTTTATGAAAAAGCTTCGTATGTCCCCTTTCTTCTTCTTGGGTGACATAGCTGATCTACAAAGTACAAAAAGGGGCAAAAAACCGGAATATTAAAATGTTTTACTCTGGCCTTTGTATATGGCACGCAGAGACAGCCCTGGTAACTGGTAACAGCCCCGTCGGCGTCGTCACGCGCGCACACACACACACACACACCACCCGCTCGCTCGCTGCCAGTGAGTGCAAGCACAAAAAGTAGTCCCGGCCCGCGCGTGTAGCCTGCCTGTCATACCCCGCCGCCAATCAAATTACGGCGTATCTTGTACTGTCGTCGTCCTGGCCGTTGGAATCGATCCAAATGGCAGCGCAAAGATCCAAATGCAGCGCAAATATCAAAATAGCAGTTCAAAGGAGCTTGCTAAATATTGGTGGGGACAAATTTGTCATCTCAAAATATTGATTGGGACTAGTACCTAGCGTCCCCCCCTAAACCTACGCCCTTGATTTTGAAGAAGATTATGTACTTCTCAAACTTTTCCTGACCTTGAACTTAACATCTGATATCAGGTCCACCTGTGCAAGATGCCACATGTCTCCATGGTCTTCATTCATCTTCCACACCTCCTTGCCCACATTGCCCTCAAGTATGTGGACGCTCAGTCCCATGGCCCAGCTGGAACCATGCATGTGGTACCAGAACTGAAGACACTGAGGTTGAAGGTCAGCACATTCTGGACTGAGGAGACGGGCCGTGTCGCCATAAGTTGCGCTGTCACCCTCGATGTACATATAAAAACCACCTGGACCAGGAAAAGGAGACATCTGAGTAATGGTCAAAAATGGCACATTTTACAAGATGTAAAATTGTGAATGTTGACCTACTTCCTGTTGTGTGGTCAGAGGAAGGACCAGTCATTGATGTAGGAGTGGAGCCTCTGTGTCTTGTCCAATCAAAAACATCAGTCACCATCTGAGTCCAACTGCAGATGTCCTTTTCAAAATCACAGTTCATTCTACAATCTGTCAAAACAAAGCAAACATATAATTATCATGCCAAGCAGTTAACCACAGTCTGATCCACCAATATTATGCAGCATATGAATGCCTTTATAAACATTAAAACTTAGCTCACCTATAAAGTGATGCCTGATTTCTCACAAATCCCTCTTACTTTTCAACCTCTCCCCTTTTGGTTGTGTAACGCCCACTTTTCTCAGTTCATTCATTTAACATTAATATTCACAAGACATTTTTATGTTTTTATTACATTGAAGATTAAGAATTGACATTAAAGAAAGTCTTACTTGGTTGGGGGTTGATTGAGTTTGGAGTAGTCAGATGGGGTGCCAGAGTGGTCGAGTCTGAAACTTCTGCGGATGAATCTGCCAATGAGATCAAATCAAATTAACTGAAGCTTACTTTAATCGAGTAAAATAAAAAATTCAAAAGGATTATACTTTAAGTAAATTATTTAATATCCAGTTAACAACAGCATTTCTGAAGTAGAGTTAGATTAAGACTATTCTTAAGGAGTAAAGCAAAAAAAAAAAGAGGTCACGGATCATGCCACACAAATATAATCAGATTCAAAATATGTTTATAGATCAGTCTGAAATAGATTTATATCTACAAAACTTACAATCACATGCACCATACATTATGGCCACATCATCTATGGCCACATCTGAGCTTTGATTTGAGCCCCTGATGCCTTCTATGATGACCTGAAACGGTCCATATTAGAGTATTAACAAACAGTCTTTCATCCATCATGTTTGCTTATGCACTTAATTTTGTCCTCTGAATTCATTAACAAGTAGAATGTGTTGATGTCATATCCACACACAGCGACTTACCTGGAATGGCTGTTGTGGTTGGATTTCAACCTGGCCTTGGTACCAGCTGTTGCCCTGGTTGTTGGTTTTGGACCACATTTTGATGGCATGGTTGTTCTCATATATGTAGAGGTTGAGAGACATAGCACTTGCCTGGCCGTACATGTGGAACCAGAAACTCAAACACTGCCTGCCGGAAGTGTTGCAGACAGGACTCATCATTCGGGCTGAGTCGCCATGGACCACACTATCCCCCTCAATATACATGTAAAAGCCACCTATATATAACAGTCAGAGAAGTGAATGAGACAGTAAAAAAAGTTTTCAGTTGTTTTACCCAGGTATTGAGTGGGACACGGACCCAATGTCTACATGAAATCTGCTCCACAGAATTCCAACAGAATCCCGTAATCTATTTCATATTTTATTAACCAATTTTCCCAGCAAACTTACTTCCTGTGGTGTGGTCACTGGGTGGTCCAGTGAAGTTTGATGGCGTTGTCCCTGACCATCTGGTCCAATCAAAACTGTCTTGGATAAGTTGCTCCCACCCACATTCATCCTGATCAAAGTTACAGCTCCACAGGCAACCTGTATGATGACAAAGGAATTAAAAATTTTATATACACTGCTCGGCCAAAAAGAAAGAAAGAAAGTAAATCACTGTTTGGATTTAAATAGGCAAGAGCTTGAATTCATTGAAAGTCTTTATGATGTGCTGGAGTAGTATGAGATCTTGACCAAAAACGGATGCACCTCTTGATGGAAATAACATCACAACATTTATTTCCATCAAGAGGTGCATCAATTTTTGGTCAAGATCTTGTATTGACAATGCAAGAGTCCATCACTCTGTAAAGTCTCCTCCAGCACATCCCAAGGACTTTCAATGAATTTAAGGTCTGGACTCAGAGGTGCCAATTCATGTGTGAATATGATTCTTCATTCTCCCTCAGTCCCAACCCTTCTTTCTCAATTTGAGCTTGATTAAAGGTTCTCTAAGCGATGTCGGGTGACGTCACTTCTTGTTGACGTTTAAAGTATTGTCAAACAAAACGGAGGCTAGCTAGACCCTCCCTCCTCCTCCGCGCACTAACCACCCAAACCCCGCCCCCAAGTCCTTCTTGTCGGTGATTGGCTGGAACTGTTTGTCATGTTTCGGGGAGCGGGTCGCCGCAGTTTGTTTTTGTTGCTGTTTGTGGAGCCTGGGCTGTCTACAGAGATCGCGTTTCTTTACAGTGTGTTCAGGGGACAGGCAGCCAGCGGTTAGTGAGGAGATGTTTGCTGTATGTGACAAAAAATGTTTTGGCCTAAAAAACGCGTGACATCGCTTAGAACACCTTTAATCTTGGCTATGTCATCCTGGAATATGGCCATGATGTTTCTTCCTACATGGTTGTTTAAGAAATGCAAATCTACACACCATCAATTAGGGTTAGAAGAAGTGTTGCCAAACATATAACATACTATAAACATCATAAACACTGCAATAATGATCCAGCCATAGACTCTTAAGCATTTTAAATCCATACTGCAACTCTGGATTTAACTTCTTTTTTTTTTTTTTTTTTTACTTTTTTTGGTCTGGGCAGTACATATAAAGAAAGAGAGAAAGACTGCTTACTTGCAGATGGTGGGGTTGGTGTGGGGTTGTCTGTTGGTGGTGGTGAAGGATTGGCAACTGTATGGAAGCAGAAAAAGTTCAGAGATTTAAGGTTTCATTTGAGTTGTTGCCTGACCATTTTTTCATCTACTATACTGAAATAAATAAATGATTTAGCAAACTATTCCTATGTTAAGTCAAGGCAGGGTTATTTATATACAATGATAATTGTTTTACATTAAACAATAAAGAAAAAATATAAAAACCATGTAAATGTTAAGTTGAAAATTATTTTATAACATATTGAAGTTTATAAAAAGTAAAAAAAATCAAAAGATACAGACATTTTTTTTTCAAAAAAGAAAAAGAATTGTGCAGCAAACATAAACATGTATATGTATATATTTTTTATTCCACATTTGAAAGTTCAAAAAGACAAATATGATTTTAGAATATTATTGAACGATATATAGAATAAAAGACTATGCACTTACAACAGAAGGTGTGATTTCTCCAGTCTGGCAGAAACACCTCTGCTATCTCACAAGCAGACACATAGTCCTCCAAAGAGGTGCAGAGCAGAGCCATGTCCCCCTGGGAAATACAGTAATCAGAAACGCAGCTGCTGACGTAGATCTGTGGTGGAACGAACCAGTGGCACTCTTTGAAAGCATCTTCAAACAGTTCACTGCACTTTGTAAATGCATCATCCTCCAGGTCTGGATGACACGCAGGGGGGTCTGGAGAGCCATCACTACAACTGGGGAAAGATAGGGAGGAGGGGGAGGGGGGGGCAGTACATTATGTATTTTAATATTACAATATACACTCACCGGCCACTTTATTAGGTACACCTGTCCAACTGCTCGTTAACACTTAATTTCTAAGCAGCCAATCACATGGCGGCAACTCAGTGCATTTAGGCATGTAGACATGGTCAAGACAATCTCCTGCAGTTCAAACCAAGCATCAGTATGGGGAAGAAAGTTGATTTGAGTGGCTTTGAACGTGGCATGATTGTTGGTGCCAGAAGGGCTGGTCTGAGTATTTCAGAAACTGCTAATCTTCTGGGATTTTCACGCACAACCATCTCTAGGGTTTACAGAGAATGGTCCGAAAAAGAAAAAACATCCAGTGAGCGGCAGTTCTGTGGGCGGAAATGCCTTGTTGATGCCAGAGGTCAGAGGAGAATGGCCAGACTGGTTCGAGCTGATAGAAGGGCAACAGTGACTGAAATAACCACTCGTTACAACCGAGGTATGCAGCAAAGCATTTGTGAAGCCACAACACGCACAACCTTGAGGCGGATGGGCTACAACAGCAGAAGACTCCACCGGGTACCACTCATCTCCACTACAAATAGGAAAAAGAGGCTACAATTTGCAAGAGCTCACCAAAATTGAACAGTTGAAGACTGGAAAAATGTTGCCTGGTCTGATGAGTCTCGATTTCTGTTGAGACATTCAGATGTTAGAGTCAGAATTTGGCGTAAACAGAATGAGAACATGGAACCATCATGCCTTGTTACCACTGTGCAGGCTGGTGGTGGTGGTGTAATGGTGTGGGGGATGTTTTCCTGGCACACTTTAGGCCCCTTAGTGCCATTTGGGCATCGTTTAAATGCCACGGCCTACCTGAGCATTGTTTCTGACCATGTCCATCCCTTTATGGCCAGCATGTACCCATCCTCTGATGGCTACTTCCACCATGTCACAAAGCTCTAATCATTTCAAATTGGTTTCTTGAACATGACAATGAGTTCACTGTACTAAAATGGCCTCCACAGTCACCAGATCTCAACCCAATAGAGCATCTTTGGGATGTGGTGGAACGGGAGATTCGCATCATGGATGTGCAGCCGACAAATCTGCGGCAACTGTGTGATGCCATCATGTCAATATGGACCAAACTCCCTGAGGAATGCTTCCAGCACCTTGTTGAATCTATGCCACGAAGAATTGAGGCAGTTCTGAAGGCAAAAGGGGGTCCAACCCGTTACTAGCATGGGGTACCTAATAAAGTGGCCGGTGAGTGTAGCTTTTTATAATAATAAATGGATACATAATCATTAATTAATTTAAATAGTGTGGCAGACGTTTTTTATGCCCCTTTGTAATGGGCATTCGATGAATCAATCACAGTCACATACCCAGTTTAAAGGGATAGTTCACCCAAAAATTAAAAATAGCCCATGATTTACTCACCCTCAAGTCATCCTAGGTGTATATGACATTCTTCTTTCAGACAAATACAATCGGAGTTGTATAAAAAAATGTCCAGGCTCTTCCAAGCTTTATAATGGCAGTGAATGGATGTATATTTTTTGAAGTCCATCAAAAGTGCATCCGTCCATTATAAAAGAGCACCACACGGCTCTGGGGGGTTAATAAAGGCCTTCTGAAGTGAAGCGATGTGTTTGTGTAAGAAAAATATCCACAATTAAAACTTTATCGACTAAAATAGCAGACGCTGTATACGCATCAATTTTTTTAATATTTTTTTTTATATAGGCTACCTCTGATTGTATTCGTCTGAAAAAAGAATAGCCTATAGGCCTACATATGACTTGAGGGTGAGTAAATCATGGGCTAATTAAAAAGTTTTGGGTGAACTATCCCTTTAAAGTCGCTTGGTGAATGAATCGTGAACTATTTATGACTGAATCATTCAAAGCGGTTTTGTGAACAGGATCAGCCAATTCATTACGATTACGATTCATTCACGAATCGGTCATTGCAACATCGCCAAAAAAGCTAGAGTGAATGTAATTTGCAGAGAATAATAACTTAAATTTCAGTCTGCTTATCTCACTATCATATGGCTTTATACGAATTAGCCTATGTTGTTTTTTGCAATTTGGAGCCTGAACGCCCCAGTAGCCTCATGATGAATGAACTATCCCTTTAAATCGTCAGGTGCAAACACATTTAGAGTTTTTTCTTTTTTGTTTGCTGGAGGGGAACAGTTTGTCCTTTTTTACGGATTCAACTGAATATTATAGGACTTATTACGAATTCTCTGAGGATTCAGTAAGCTCTTACGGCCAGTAACTGTCGTTGGTGTTCCAGCTGCTGGCGAACTCGTGCGAATCCGCTACTGTGTTGCCGTCGGGTGTCAGAAAATCGTCGAACTGAGTTCCGGAGTAGGTGCCGCACAGGCCGCACAACACTCCTCTGTAGCGTTCATCCACCTGGACGAACAGCCTGGCGTTTCCAAACAGCAGCCTCAGACCGAAGTTTGTATCAACTTGGGTGTAAGGTCCTGACTGAGACACAAACACAGAAGAACCAAACTCCACGGGGAGGCGGACCCGACTACCGTTTACCTGGAGGGGGGAAGAAAACAAGGTGAGGAGTTCTCTTTCATCATCTCGTTTCGAGATCCACCTATGGGAAGGGCATCCGTACCTGACCTCTGCAGAAGCATCCAATTGCACCAAGTCTGGCTAACAGACAGAAGCGCGCAGCCAATGCCAGGTGAGGCCACACCCCCTTACCTACGGGCATATCACAGCTGGGCGCGCTGCTATTCCTCAGTTGACATTCGCTTCTCGCGATCTCTGCATTGACACAGTTCGGTTGGATTAACGTTACGCTGCTCACTTTCGAGTCTTCAGGAGGACATATCGCATTCGCCAGATCAGCCTCCGCCAGACGTGAGTGACAGTCGTTTCTTCAGCCTATCCGCTGTGTTTTTTGCATCCGGAGCCGCCCGAGCTCTCGCTGTCCTTCACCTGCTCCTCCTTTACATGGCTGCCCGCCACGGATTTTTCCGAGTTCTTCACCGCTGGCCCGCCCATGGCTATGTGACCGTCTAAACAGCCGCTTCCCCCGGGGAACAGCCCAGCACGACGAGCCTGCCCGGCCGCGTGTGGTGCTCTCATCGCCGCTATAAGGACCCTCTCGTTCTGCTTGGGCTTAACACGCTCAAGCTTTGGAGAACCCGGGGAATTGCGGTCATTGTAATTGCTGCCCATGTAGCTTTTACTAAGCCGGCTTTTAGTTGCACGACACAGCGCGCCGTGCTCGGCCTTTCTGACTCGGAGGAGAGACACGGTGATGATGACGCGCTACCGGGGGACTCCCGGAGCGCCACCTCTCTAAAATATTTGAGCTGACATCAGCCCAATCCGCATTCCCTGAAGAGGACATCTTCGCGGGAAAACCTCACTCTCGTTGACGAACCGGTCGGTTCCGGCGACGGGGATGACGCGGTCCTTTTAGCGTTCCCTAGGCTAGCGTTCACGCGGCTTTGCCTCCGTCCATCCTCCTGGAAGTTTGTGAGCGAGCGGCCGTTCGTTTCAACATTGTGTGGCCAGCTCCACAGAGCGCCACCGACCAGGATAGGAATATGTACGACGGGTAAACGCTGGGACCACCGCCCAGTCTGAACGGCCGGAGCGTCCCGCTAGACTGTTAACACGGTCTCACGGGCCTTGATTTGTTACGATTACGTGTTGAGGTTTTCAATGTATGCCTTCCTAGGAAGGCGGTCCCGAACGCAAGCGGCCTGCCTGTTGTTCGACCATTGGGAGTAACGTTAACTAACAGGGTCTCCCACCTACGGTCGGTTAATCCCCTCGCGTGGCTGCCCGGCCCGTATGTTAGTGGACGTTGTGTGTGTGTGTCCCCCTCCCCCCCACAACAACAAGTTACGGGGGAGGGGGCTGTCGTGAGGAAAAGTACATAGCAGTGTTACCACACCGCACGCACTTGGTTCCCCTCACCCAGTTATTAAAGGCTTCGGCCCCAGTGTTTCCCAACACAAACACACACATTACTAAACAACACATTTAATAAACGAATCAAATGAATTCGTGCAGATTTATATATCTGCCAGCGGCAACATAGAGAGCAAATCTCTCTGATCCCATGCATGTCGCCCTGAGTCCGTCCACAAGAGGTCGCCATTGCCTCATAAATCAACCAACTGGGCTCACACAGCTCAGTTGCGGCTGTCCAGCCGATGTGTTTTTAGTGGACGTTGTGTGTGTAAGGCCCCTGTGTTCCCCAACACAAAACACACACATAACTAAATAACACAAAAAAAAAAAAAAAAAAAAAAAAAACCGCATTAAATAAATCCGTTACAGAGAGAGTATCTCTCTCCGCGGATATTATTTTTCTGCCTGCACTTGAGACTGCCCAGTTCATGTGTTCAGGAGATATGTGGTTTTCCCACTTTTGGGGACACCTTGTGAGGGAAAGTTCAGTACAGTGGACACCACACTATGTTTCCCTCACTCTGTCAATAAAGGCTTTGGCCCCAGTGTTTGCCCAACACAAAACACACAAAGCTACGAATCAAATGAATTCGTTTTGGAGAGAAGACCTCTCTCCGCAAAGAAAACTTCTCACTGGAGAGAGAGGAAATCCCTCCAAACCCCTGCATGTTGCCTCTAGTGTTCCCACTAGATGGCGCCTTTGCATCACAAATGAACCAGCTGGGCCCATACAGCTCCGCTCCGGCCCGAGCGGGGGCGCTCGCGAGTCACAAAGCGGCTTGGCAAGCCGTTTCAGCGCCCGAGTGGGTTTTTGCGTACTGTAACCCAGGGTTACAAGCTGCAGTTTGCAATAAAACCTCCGCATTTCAACGGCGTTCTCTCTTCTCACACAGAAGAAAACGCCTCACACATTCTGAAAGAGGAAATTTCCTCCCTCCTAACAAGGGAGCGATTCAGATGGTGCCACCCAATCTGATAAACCATGGTTTTTATTCCTGGTATTTTCATGTTCCAAAAGGCGTGGCGCCCCCCCGCCCTATATTGGACCTTCGAGTGTTGAACAAACATTTGAGGAAATTCAATTTCAGAATGTGACACAAGCCTCTCTCGCCTGTGCCATAAAGCAGAACGACTGGTTCACATCAGTCGATCTGAAAGATGCTTTCTTTCACATAAGCATCTACCCTCCACACAGGAAATATCTTCGTTTCGCCTACCAAGGCGTTTGTTACGAATTCACAGTTCTTCCGTTCGGGTGCAATTTGAGTCCCCGAACTTTCTGTCTGTGTGTGGAGGTGGGCGTGGCGCCCCTGAGACTATCAGGGCTGAGAATTCTGACTTACTGGCTCATCATAGCCAAATCAAAGGAGAAGGTGTCGCTGGACACCGGCCGGGTGCTCGCACACATCACATCCCTCGGGTTCAAGGTGAATGCGAGCGAAAACAATCTGACTCCCAGTCAGAATGTCATTTTCCTGGGCTTGGAATTGAACTCAGTCTCCATGCGAGCGCGTCTCTCTCAAGAGCGCGTTCGCTCGCTGATGGACTGTCTGTCTCAGTTCAGTGAAGGGGCGAGAGTACAATATCGCACATGCCTCAGGCTGCAGGATCTCATGGCTTCATCTATCCAAGTTGTGCCATTGGTCTCCTGAGAATGAGAACGTTCACGAAATGGGTTTTGTACACTACATTTCAGCCCGATTTGCGATCTCTGCCGCTCGGTAACGATGACGCGCGCCTGCTCGGCGGCCTTGCGCCATTGGGTGAGCGAGAACTTTTACGCACGGGGAACCCCCCCTCGGGACGGTACGATGCGAAAAGTTTTGACGACAGATGCGTCCTTAACAGGCTGGGGAACCACCCAGGAAGGCAGAACGGTGAACGGTCTGTGGCTGAGCAGACTACGTTCAGCGCACATTAACTATTTAGAGCTTTTACTATTTGGAAAGCTCTGAATCATTTTCTGCCTCGCCTGCAGGGACATCACGTTCTAGTACGGTGCGATAATACCACGGTAGTGGCTTATATCAACCGTCAGGGTGGCATGCGCTCGTCAAAACTCCACGCTCTAGCTTACAGGCTTTTGGTGTGGAGCAGACAGGTTTTTCTGTCATTACGCGTGACTCATGTCCCGGGCATTCGGAACAGAGGCGCGGATCTGCTATCGAGGGGAAACCCAATCCACGGGGATTGGCGTCTTCACCCGCAGATAGTGGAGAGGTTATGGATGAGATGGGACAGGCAGCCGTAGATCTTTTCGCCTCGCGCGAAAATCACCATTGTCCTATGTTCTTCTCGCTAAAGGACATGGACGCGCCCCTCGGGGCAGACGCACTGGCCCACCCATGGCCCAAAGTGCTGTTGTATGCTTTTCCTCCCCTGTGCCTGATAATTTTCACTCTGGCCAGGGTGAGAGAGCACGGCCTGTCTCTCACTCTAATAGCACCCAGGTGGCCCAAAGCCCCATGGCTGGCAGAGATAATCCCTCTGTTATACGCCGAGCCATGGCGCCTCCCCCCTCGCACGGACATACTGTCCCAAGCCAACGGGGAGATTTACCACCCCCACCCGGACAGGGTGGCTCTCTGGGCCTGGCCCGTGAGAGGACGAACCAAAATGCACTGGGGCTCCCGCCGCGTGTAATCGCCACTACTCAGAAGGCCAGGGCCGTTTCCGCGCGATCCCTATATGGCTGTGAGTGGCAAGTGTTCGAAGGGTGGTATGATGGGCGTGGTTTCACATCTTATCAGTGCTCGGTGCCTGATATTTTGTGTTTCCTGCAAGACCTCATGGAAAGAGGCAGGTCCTTTTCCACTATTAAGGTCTACCTGGCTGCGATTTCAGCCTGTCATGTGGGTTTTGGGGCTCCACCGTCAGGCAGCACCCTCTAACCCGCAGATTTATGGAGGGTGCACGCCGCTCTTTGCTGGTCATCAGGAGATCTGTTGAATCTGTCCCAGAGTGGGACCTCTCCATGGTGCTGGAAGCGCGGTCTCTGTATCCTTTTGAGCCTCTGGGGAGTATTTCCCTTAAGCTGCTGTCCCTCAAGACAGCTTTGCTCTCGGCCTTGGCATCTGCTAAACGGGTCAGTGAGCTACATGCACTCTCGGTTCACCCCTCGTGCGCCAAATTCTCCCTAAGTGGAGATAAGGTTTTCCTTAAGCCTAACCCGGCCTTCATGCCGAAATGCTTCCCTGCGTTCACGTCGGAGGTTTTGGAGCTATCCGCTTTTCACCCTCCACCCTTTGCCTCCCCGGAGGATCAGGGGCTGAATGCTCTGTGTCCCGTCCGTGCTCTGCAAGCATAATGACCAGGACCAGTGCTTTCCGCAAGAGCGACCAGCTCTTTGTTTCTAGGGCTCCCCTGCACAAGGGGAGTCCCATTTCAAAGCAATGCCTCTCACATTGGCTTGTGGACGCTATACTATGGCTTATGAAGCAAAGGGAGTGCAGCCCCCAAGGGGCATCAGAGCTCATTCCACAAGGGGCTTAGCCGCCTCTTGGGCTTTGTTCAGGGGAGTGCCACTGCAGGACATCTGCTCCGCGGCCAGCTGGGCCTCTCCTCATACCTTTGAGCGTTACTACCGGTTGGATGTCACCGGAACTTCGGTGGCACACTCGGTCCTAGGGGTAGGGTCCTCTTAGCCCTTTCCCACAGCCCCGTTTGGTTAACCAACGAGGAGTGAATGGGCCGGCTGGCCATGTTCATTCCTGTCACCAAGCATTCGCATTCCTTCTTGGGTTTAGCTATGTGCATTGGTGGTGCGGGGGCCATTATCATGTATGTGTCTCATGCATGTTTCATGCCCTGCTTGTCCACAGCAGTTAGCGTGGCGGAAAACTTGCAGGGTCATGTTTGTGGGACGTGTCAGGCACCGCCTCTCTGAGGTGACCGTCCTTCTCTGGCCTTCAGAACCTCACTGGTAGTGTATTGGGCAATCGGGGAGCTGTCCATGTCTCTCCCATAGGTGGATCTCGAAACGAGATGATGAAAGAGAACAATAGGTTACTGTCGTAACCCCGGTTCTCTGAAACATCGAGTGGAGAGATCCACCAGCCTTGCCCCGCTTGCCGCACGAGAAGCGAATATACTGACTGAGGAATAGCAGCGCGCCCAGCTGTGATATGCCCGTAGGTAAGGGGGTGTGGCCTCACCTGGCATTGGCTGCGCGCTTCTGTCTGTTAGCCAGACTTGGTGCAATTGGATGCTTCTGCAGAGGTCAGGTACGGATGCCCTTCCCATAGGTGGATCTCTCCACTCGATGTTTCAGAGAACCGGGGTTACGACAGTAACCTATTGTTTTTCAGTGGATCTCATGAAGCCTGTGAAGAACATGTCTAATGGAAAATAGAGCTATATTTAGACCATTAAGATGTACAATCACATATATTTTTATTAATTAGCATGATATATTTGTGTTACTGTAACTACAATTAGGCTACTGTTAGGCATTTTCCACATTACCGTGGAATATGAGAGTATGTATTTTTGCATTACAGTATTGAGGCAATGCACTTGTTGTTTTAAGCATGTTTAAAAACAAGACTTCATCCCCCGGTTTCATAGATGAGGTTTAAGCCTATCCCAGACTAAAATGCATGTTTGAGCTGTTTTAATGAAAGCAACTTGCACTGGCATGTGTGTCAATGCCATTGTTTTGTCTCAAGATGCACACCAGTAATGTTGTTTTCTAAGGCAGGTTTATAAAAGCTACTTAAATGCCCTAATTGAACTAAGGCCTAATCCTGACTTAATCTAAGCTTTGTTTGTGAAACCAGGCCTTCATGTCTTAAATTGTCACTATGGGGAAATAATGCAATGGTCCTAAAGTAAGCTTCATTTTATGGAATATATATATTTTTTTCTTGTGATTTTGGATTAAAATGACAGGTGCGTATTTTTGAAAGGATATTTGTGATGTTCAGCTTTTAAGACTGGGGCATTATACAACATTTAATATGATAACATAGATTCTGCCAAAACACTGTTTATCTATTCTGCTATAAAATCATGATACATTTAATGTAGGATCTCCTTAAAACTGTCTAAGATGCTTTCAGAAGCTTCTGTCATTTAGCTGTAGCTTATGCAAAGTTGGCACAGTTGTATTGTAGTAAACATAACTGGAGTAACTTTATTAATCTGCTGGGAACTATGTTAGAATGGTTAATGTTTGATAATGGATATTTTATAATAGTCCCAAATCATTGTCAATCATAAAAATGTGCTTAGATTTGTTAAAACTGGGTCATGCATTTGCTGGCACATTGTTTTATCTTTAATTTAAGGGCCAGAGAGTGTTATGTTCCTGATAAAATCAGTTAAAGTGTCTGAGCCACAAAAGTGCTTGTGATTTAATATATTTTTTTTTTTAAGTGACCGGTTTAAACCTGCATATCAGAAATCTGATTATGTCAAGTAGAAGTCACTATCAGGACACTCCTCAAATGTTATCTTTTGAATTATGGCATATTATGTCATAAGCAAACATATTTCTTATCACTTACCTTTTAAAATATGAACATTTTACTTACTGTAAACACTAATTATTATGAGTCATACATTCTAGATGGCAGCTCCTGACAAAATGTTTTCCACGAACTGCCCATATCATGAAAGATTAGGGAAGTGCTACGTGGAGAACTATGTGGAGGCCTTATAAACTTCCCCTCACTGTACTCTAATACAATACTTAGTTTGCTTGCCTGGTTCTCTGATCATATCTTTCTTCCTCTAGTTTCTGATCACTTATCTAATCACCAGATAGGCTTTGATGTGTAAATGTGGACAGTCATCTGTATGATGTTACCAAAATACATTTTCTTACTCAGTACTTTTGTCTTGTTTCTCAGTACAAATATCCAGTACAAATAAACTCTTAAATCAAGATACATTTGCTTGAGAATCAAAACGACTTATAAGATATTAAGTCTTGTTTTCTAAAAAAAAAGAAAAGAAAAGTGTAATTGAGTGAGTTTATGCTTATAATAGAAAAACTATCTGCCAACGGGGTCAGAAAAAAAAATAATAATTCAAAGGAAAATAAGATTTTTTTTGTTGTTGTTCTTTTTTTTTTTTTTTTTTGCAAGACTAGATCTATTGCTTCTCAAGTAAATGTGTTCTCTTGTTTAGATATTTGTACTGGAAAGCAAGACAAAATTACTGAGTAAGAAATTACTGTTGGAAGTTTCATTAAATCTTTTTGGACTGGGTAGTTTTGAGTTTAAAAGTTATTTTTAAGTTTTCATAGTAAGCTGGAGCAACAATATCTCATTCCTCATGAAATGATTCCTTTGGTGTGCATATGCTATGGACATTTGTTAATAATGAGACTTAAAATGGTTAAATGGTCTATTTGTGGTGTAACTGAATAAATAGTTTTAAAATAAACGGTGATAATATGGCCAACTCTGAATGAATGACAAAAACAAGACACTCACATAAACCAGCTCGTTCTTCCCGATGACAATGTGTAGGCCTTCCATGTCAAGAGCTACAGAGTTAAGAGAGGAAGTTGCAGAGTTGTTGCGTCCCTCGTTTCGTGCGGTTATTGTGAACTGGGTGCCAGTAGGCCCACAGGTCTTTGCTATTGTGTAGTTGCAGGTTCCCCAGAAGGAGTAGGCCTTGCCATCGAAAGTGATGTAATGGGGGTCACCGTAGACACTGCAGGTCACCGGACTGGACAGGAAACAACCTTTGACACCGTCTTTAACCATGCACACTTCATCAGCCGTGCAGGAAGCAGATGAGCAGTGAATGTTCCCATGGCCCAAACACTGGCACTGTTGCTCACATTCACCCTCCATAAATGTCTCACTGATCTGGATAGGACAGGATGAGAAAGATTTATGGACACATATAAAAATTGATGATTTATGGATTGGACACATAAAATTTAATAATAATAAAAAAAGTATCTCTCTCTCTCTCTCTCTCTCTCTCTCTCTCTCTCTCTCTCTCTCTCTCTCTCTCTCTCTCTCTCTCTCTCTCTCTCTCTCTCTCTCTCTCTCTCTCTCTCTCTCTCTCTCTCTCTCTATATATATATATATATATATATATATATATATATATATATATATATATATATACAGTATATATACATGGCTAAGCTTATTTACCGAATAATGCTGTCCATTAGCCCAACATCCACAGTCTTTAGCTTGCACACATGCTCCTCCGCTGAGCATGAAGCCATCGTCACACTCGCAACGCTCCTCACATATCCCACAAGGCCCTGCAGTGTCCAGGCTGGAGCAGGTCTTGGGACAGCCACTGGCACAAGCGTTATGGTGGCTGTGTAGGCCACATGACACAGCTACAGCAGAAACAAGATGAATCAAACATACAGTAATTCATCAAAAATAAATGTACAGTACGTTTCCCAGTGCCTGATAGATTTACAGTACGTTTCCCAGTGCCTGATAGATTTACAGTACGTTTCCCAGTGCCTGATAGTTTTACAGTACGTTTCCCAGTGCCTTGTTAGATTTACAGTATGTTTCCCAGTGCCTGATAGATTTACAGGACGTTTCCCAGGGCCCTTTGTGGTTTGTAATGGAAAGTTACGGGTCAGCTGGCGAAGGTGTGGGAGAATATTAATTAATAACCAGTGAGTAAGTCGAGTACTTCTGTGTGGATTGTTAGGTGGAGACTGGACTGCTGATTACAGAGGTCTGAGATAGGCCTTTTGCTCAACAGTGGCTTAAATCAAGTAGTCTGATCTGACACGTCAAGCCTTAATTTATATTTATGATTTGCTTAACAATACTGGCAGTACTTGAATCGCTTGTCTGTATACTTGCCCATTGTTTCATAGCCTTGGGTGGAGATGAGATAATAAGGCTTTAAAGCAATATTCAAGGTTAAATGCATTTTACTAGTGCTCAAGGCCCGTTTCACACGTGCTGTGCGTGAGCAGCAGTGTGTTCGTTTTTTGTTGATATTTGATGTTTATTTTTTTCTGCCTATTTTAAGATGTGAAGGTTAATTTGTTAAAAACTTAAAGCGATTGTTATAAGTTAAATACATCAATCTGAGGCATTTTAATAGCAATTTGAATATATTATTATTATCTCTAATAAATGAATAATGAATATTTCTAAATAAGTATTAATTTTTTTTTTAATAGTAAACAAAGATTGATTTTGCTGCATTCACAGTGAACTAAGATGTTGAAAACACTGGATACTTGTGTAAACACAGTGCGGTGCTTCACTCTTTTGTAGCCTTTTGTGATTTGAATATCACACTAAGCCTTATCACAATTAAAATTTTAGGTCATTTGACACATGCTTTGCGCCAAAGAAATGGCTCAAAACATGTAATGTTTTATCTTAGGAGAAGTGGAGTTATGGAGTTTTTCAAAGCATTCCTATCTCTGTTATTATGAGCAAAATCTTCTGTGTTGTACATCATAATGTTGATTTGAGCATAATGCCTACTTGCAGTATAAACAAAGTAGTATAGATAGATTTATAATATTTATAATATACTATTTATTGGTTAACACCCATTGATTAAAACAATTATTGGCTTATTGGCCATAATATTGGTTCTTGCTAATGCACTTTTTACATGGACCAAAGTCCACCATCAATAATTATGTCAGTAAAGCATAATCAATGTGTATTCACCTATAAAAGTCAATTTAAAAAGACAACTTGATCAAATAATAATAATAATAAACAGATTTAACTGATTTACTGATTTTGAGTTTTATTTATCCTAAAACGTTTTTTTTTTGTTGATAATTTTAGCTATTGTTAGCCACTTACGACAGAATGTTGAGTTCCTCCAGTCCGCAACAGGGATCCCAACTTTGTCGCAGGTGGCACTGAAGGCCTCAATGGCATTGCAGAGTGCAGCAGGATCTCCGTGAGTTGTACACATATCGAACATGCAGTTTTGGAAGAAACTATCTGCATTGAGAACAGATGAGCATCCTGAGAATGGTCCCTGTCTGGATGTCAGCAGACCGCAGTAAACCTCGCTGGCGTACTGCTGCTCCTCTGCACCTGTACAGACCCTAGGCAGGGTGGGCTCATCACACACACTCTGCCCTAAAACACGAGCGTCCTGCACAAGTGACCCGTCTATGACCATCAAGTCGTCTTCTGTCTCCTGGTTGAAGTTGCCGCACATGCCACAGATTCTGTTCGAGTAATGGCTGGGGATGATCACTTGAACAGCACCGGAATGCATGTAGAAGACAGACAGTTTGAAATCTGTCTGAAGGACCAAAGCATCTCCCTGGGCATTAACCGTAACTCTATTTCCCCTCATGAGTAGAGGGAGATCCTTCCAGATCCCATTAACCTGATTAGAACAACAATAGAAGGTGGTTAAGACAAAAATGATAATCATACATTTTGGTTAGCGGTTGACCGATATATTGCTAAAGCCGATATATCGGCTGATATTTGGTATTTTTCAATTGCCGGCATCGACTCTTTCTCTAGACACGCACAATCGAAAAAACCTTCAATCCTTGATTTCAAAGTATGCTGCGCTATTTATCCAGTTGGCCACTGTTTTATTCATGTCATATTCAATATAAAATTAGCGTTACCTGGTCTTTACTTGAAAAGATTACTGAGTTGGGTACATTGCTTACTTCCATTTTATGTACAGGTCCTTCTAAAAAAATTAGCATATTGTGATAAAGTTCATTATTTTCGATAATGTAATGATAAAAATTAAACTTTCATATATTTTAGATTCATTGCACACCAACTGAAATATTTCAGGTCTTTTATTGTTTTAATACTGATGATTTTGGCATACAGCTCATGAAAACCCAAAATTCCTGTCTCAAACAATTTGCATATTTCATCTGACCAATAAAAGAAGTGTTTTTAATACAAAAAAAGAGTCAACCTTCAAATAATTATGTTCAGTTATGCACTAAATAGTCAATACTTGGTCGGGAATCCTTTTGCAGAAATGACTGCTTCAATGCGGCGTGGCATGGAGGCAATCAGCCTGTGGCACTGCTGAGGTGTTATGGAGGCCCAGGATGCTTCGATAGCGGCCTTAAGCTCATCCAGAGTGTTGGGTCTTGCGTCTCTCAACTTTCTCTTCACAATATCCCACAGATTCTCTATGGGGTTCAGGTCAAGAGAGCTGGCAGGCCAATTGAGCACAGTAATACCATGGTCAGTAAACCATTTACCAGTGGTTTTGGCACTGTGAGCAGGTGCCAGGTCGTGCTGAAAAATGAAATCTTCATCTCCATAAAGCTTTTCAGCAGATGGAAGCATGAAGTGCTCCAAAATCTCCTGATAGCTAGCTGCATTGACCCTGCCCTTGATAAAACACAGTGCACCAACACCAGCAGCTGACATGGGACCCCAGACCATCACTGACTGTGGGTACTTGACACTGGACTTCAGGCATTTTGGCATTTCCTTCTCCCCAGTCTTCCTCCAGACTCTGGCACCTTGATTTCCAAATGACATGCAAAACTGAGCAACAGTCCAGTGCTGCTTCTCTGTAGCCCAGGTCAGGCGCTTCTGCCGCTGTTTCTGGTTCAAAAGTGGCTTGACCTGGGGAATGCGGCACCTGTAGCCCATTTCCTGCACACGCCTGTGCACGGTGGCTCTGGATGTTTCTACTCCAGACTCAGTCCACTGCTTCCGCAGGTTCCCCAAGGTCGGGAATCGGTCCTTCTCCACAATCTTCCTCAGGGTCCGGTCACCTCTTCTCATTGTGCAGCGTTTTTTGCCCTACTTTTTCCTTCCCACAGACTTCCCACTGAGGTGCCTTGATACAGCACTCTGGGAACAGCCTATTTGTTCAGAAATTTCTTTCTGTCTCACCCTCTTGCTTGAGGGTGTCAATGATGGCCTTCTGGACAGCAGTCAGGTCGGCAGTCTTACCCATGATTGCGGTTTTGAGTAATGAAACAGGCTGGGAGTTTTTAAAAGCCTCAGGAATCTTTTGCAGGTGTTTAGAGTTAATTAGTTGATTCAGATGATTAGGTTAATAGCTCGTTTAGAGACCCTTTTCATGATATGCTAATTTTTTGAGAAAGGAATTTTGGGTTTTCATGAGCTGTATGCCAAAATCATCAGCATTGAAACAATAAAAGACCTGAAATATTTCAGTTGGTGTGCAATGAATCTAAAATATATGAAAGTTTAATTTTTATCATTACATTATGGAAAATAATGAACTTTATCACAATATGCTAATTTTTTTAGAAGGACCTGTATTTATATGTGAAACATGCTATTGTAGGATTACAGAATCAAGACGTTTCAATCTAAAGATTAAAGGCCTGTTCACACCGGGACGAATTTCGCGTGCGATATTCGCCGACGTTTAGCGCCTCGGGACTAAACAAAGGGCGCCAATGTGAGTGTGCACACCGACGCGAAAAACGCCACGCGTAAAAGCGTCATTTTTTTTTAAAACGCCTCGGGTTCGTTTTTTTTGGTTTGACCTGCTGCGTCAAAAACTATCCGAACAATGAGATTGGCGCTTTTGCTCACGTGTCTGGAGCTTCTGAAGTTACAGTAAAACAGAACTTGGGGGCGCTCAAACACAAAACGGTCTTGCCGAGCACACATGCGTAACGGCGAAGAAGATGCGCCAAGTAGCGTCTACGTCTACACTGCCGGGAAGAAATAAGACGAGGAAGATGCGAGCCAAGATGAATGTAGAGCTGCTGGTCTCGTTGGTGTCGGAACATAAAAAACTATATGACAAATCCGACAGCGACTTTTACATTAAGCGCCATCTAATGTCAGGGAATGAATTTGCATGTTCACTCGGCTGAACGTCAGCGAAAATCGCTTGAGTGTAAACACAAAAAACGCGTTGAAACACGCGCGCCGATATTCGTCCCGGTGTGTACGGCCCTTAAATGTTTATTTTACAGATTCTTTTATAAGTTCAAAATATTTTTTGGAAAATAAATCATTTTCAATTTCTTTCTTTCTAATTCAGTAAATATGTCAAATAAATATAGATTTAATTCCAGGAATTATTATGCATGTATTTCTATTATCTTTAAATTAACCAAACCCAATTTCCCCACCATTGACAGAATTTTACGGCATTTATCATGAGACAACGCTCCCCTGCCATTGATGGAATTTTCCGGCTTTCCGTGTTTTCGCTATTATGCATCTTCTGAAAGAGTAGATAATCTTAGCTTAAAACACAGGCAAAAGGTGCAGAAACAAGCAATAAAAGCATAGCTTATGCTTATTTTAGTCTTTGAAAAAACAGAATTCTCAGGTTTTTGTTCAAAATATAGCTTTTTTTTATGAAACTTAACATTCAAGTATTGGTAAAAACAATGCACACAACTAGAATGAAACCTTTTTTTTTTTTGAAAAGCAAAGGCTCTGTTCTTTCTTTTGATGTATTGCATGTTCAGATATTCATGCAACAAAATATTCTAGGGGGCCATTACATTTTTGTGAAAATGATCAAAAACACTGGCAGTGACTGGCAACTTTAAAAAAAAACGCTGACGGGGAAAGAGTTAAATGTGATATATATCGACTTTATATCTCTAAATATCTCTCTAAGATATCGGCATCGCTATTGGCATTGGCCATTAAAAAAATCAATATCATTCAACGACTAATTGTGGTTGATCGCTCACCATGACTCTGCTCCTCTCTGTCCTCAGCATGGTCACTCTCAGACCACGGATGTTGACGTTCACCTGCTGGATGGAGGAGACGTGCGAGTCCCCTTTTCTCTCATTCTGCACCTCTACTGCAAACTCCGAAAGCAACCCTGAAGCATCGCAGACCTTTGACAAAACGTAGGTACAAGGACTCTCAAATTGGAAGCTGACCCCATCAAAAGTAGTGTAATGTGGGTCAGAGGCCACATGGCAGGTGCCAAAGGTGTCGTTGGACCAGGGGATGTGAGAACAGATGAGTTGCTCATCAGTGCAGGTGCAACGAGTGCTTTCATCAGTCCAAAATGTGCCTCTTAGCTGACATTGTGGCCCTGTGGATGAGAGTGGCGTACTGCACTTTACTATTTCACGAAGGCTAATAAATGTGGTGATGATATATCTCAGTGTCAGCCTGAAGATGTTTTTATGTTGCTAAATGACATAATTCCAGGTCAAAATAATAATGACCCTACCGCATTGTCCCCTCCGGATTCCTATTCTGTCAAAGGCAGTTTCCTCATCCTCATGCCGTCCTTGTGATAACTGAAAAATAACCTGCCAGAAGCACAATTACAGTTGCAGTGAGTAACGGTGAGTCTTCAGTGCTTGCAAAAGACCAAAATGTACCTATTATATTTGTGCACATTACTTTCACAGATGCTCATGCTTTCTAATCAAACAACTCACAGAAATTATTGTAGTGTTTTAAGACGGCAGACAGCTTATCATAGAGCTCATACATGCTAAAAGATAACTCTTGGAGGTTTTTCCAAAGGGATCCCACTTAATCAGTCAGTGAATTGTTATTTTTATTGTATATTCCAAAAAAACATTTCCAAGCAGAACCACCAATAATTTATTTATTTACATTTTGGCATTTAAAACTATGGAGCCCCTAAAGGGACATGGTGATGGAAAAAAAATGAGATGGGAGGAAAAATGATAAGCCAATGCTTTTGCGTTTATTTTTGCGTTTACAAATTATTTTTGCGTTTCAATCTAGAAGATTGAAGGATCTAGAAGAGAAACCTTGCGTTTGCTCGCAAAACTTTTGCGAGGGCAAATGCAAACGTTTTGAAATTCTTATCAAACGACTTATAGACATTTTTGCAGTGCTTTAAGATGGCAGACAGCTTATCATACATTCATACATATCATAACATTCAGACTCCTAGAAAACTCTTGGTGGTTTTTAAAAGGGATCCTATTTTATCCATTAATCATTGGTATTTGTATGTTATTTTTGTATCTTTATTGTATATCTCCAAAAATGCCAGCCATTGTAGCAGCCATTGATGAATGATGGATTCATTTCTATTCTTCGGATTCCACTGGCATTACTGTGCTTTTTCATTGTGTAATTGATTAAGTTTGGTGGTTTAGGTTGCAAAACAGTAAAAATATGCAAATTTACATTGTTCTCTAAAATGTTTCAAACAAACTCGAACCTTTTACCATTATCTGCTATCTTTCACCATAAAGATGCCCAACACCTCAATCTGAATCTTTAAATTGCTCTACCTGGATGTTGTCAGATTGCTTTGTCAGAGGGATAAACACTTGTCTCCAGTCTCCACTGCTAGAAGTCTCTGAAGTCCAAATCAGTGTATGCAGAATGTCATCCACTACCAAAACTTTGAGTTCAGAACTCTTCTGGTTGGGTTTATGGTACCAGAACTCCAGACAGGAGTCTTCTGAGATATTAAGAAAACCACTCTTGAGACGAAACACACCAGATGAACTCACGGGATGGATAGCAGTTTCCTCTATAGCACATAGACAAAAAGAAAAAACATGCATACATTTAAGTGATTTAAAAGAGAGCTGCTAGGTTTTTTTTTCAGTGAAGAGTTTTACCGCCTTTCAAAGTTTGTGATTTCCCCTTTCCCTTAAGTATACTAATACTTTAGTTTTACTGCTTGGTTTGTGGGTTTCACAGGTATCCTGATACATTGAGCTGCTTATGTGGGCTGTGCAAGTTCGAATAAGGCTTGCATTGTTACCTCCCTGTGCCTATAGGTGGGACAAATGCAAAAAAAAAAATAGCCGTTGCATTGTCAGTTTTTCATGAAACATTGAGTTGGTCATGCTTTCATTGCATTGTGGCAAGCACATGCTGTATTAGCAGACTGATCTCATGAAATGGCGTATGTATGACACGCCAATTCGTATTTCCATTTTTGGCGTGCTATCAACACGCATAATCGCTTTTCAGCGTGTTTATCAACGCCGTTGACTTAACGTACATTACTGTATATATAAATATATGACCTACCCCAACCCCGTCCCTAAACCTACCCGTCACTGGGGTTAATAGGCCTACCATTTATGAGTCTTCCCCTACCATCCTAGGGAAAAAAATATCGTTCCTCAGATGTAGATCTACATTTTGCTTCGTTTCGCTCGGACATTTAACGGCGTGTAGCCTACATACACGCGGAATCACTCGGACATTTAACGGCATAGACATACACGCAAAAGATGACGGTACGTTTCGGCGTGGACATACACGCGGATAGCTCAAAATGCGTATAGATTAAACGCCACTTGACTTGAAAGTGGCGTGTATGTTTACGCAAAAGTCATGATGTCATGTTGGTATTAGTTACATGCATTTAGTTCATAGATTGGAAAGCATGCTGTTATAAAGATCACCTGCTTACATACTAAAAGGTTGCCACAGGTTAGACTCTGATCTGAACTTTTTGTTTTGTGAATTCTAGCAGTGTAGAAACAGCATCACGATCAAGTGGTTGAATGCGGTGCCTTGCATACTTGAAAGTCAAGTTGAAGAACATCATTTGAGGAATAAAGAAGTTTAAAGAAGCTCTGCTACGTGCTGTTAGAAACCTATTAACTGCTGTTGTTGTTGCCGCAGGTGAATGGATTGGCAGTAAACACCAGCGAATAACACAAACTATAGCAACTGTGTCTGCAGCAATTTCATCTCAGCAGTATAATTACCTGTTGCCGTCTGAACGCTGATGGGTCCCTCAGAGGTCCAATCACAGGATGCTGGCAAATCACTGCCAAAATCACACTTTGAGAAATAATCTACAGCACAGGTGGGAAAAGTGTTTAAATGACGATAGAAAAAGAGGAGTGAGAATAAGAACCTAATCGAAAACAAGAAACAAACCAACAATATATTTCTGTTTGGCTTGTTATAACAAATGTTCATGTCCTAAGTCACTCTTGCGAGAAATTGGTCATACCAGTCGGTGTGAGTGCTTCTAGAAAGGCCTAAAAAGTTCACAACTCATCAGAGTTTAATAGCATCTAACAGGTTTTTTTTTCAGTACTCCAGAAGATTTTCAGTAACACTAAAAGCCTATATGTATCAGATATTACAAAAGTTATTCATAATGCATGTTGTAATGCATTAAATCTTTTCATAAGTAATTGTAATCAAGTTAAAATGCATTATAATATTTGCAGATTTCTCTATATATATCTGAAATTGGTTGGTAACTTGTTTTAATGCATTATCCTTTCTAAAAGTGTAATAGTGAATACATATTTAGTATTATAACTCTGATTACAGATTACAATTCATGAGATCTTTACAAGGCATAATAAAATAAATACTTATATAATGCATTTGTATTTAAAGGTTTCAAGTAAAGTGTTACCGTCAATGCCTTAAAATATTAACCTTATAAAAGTGATGCATAAAATTTTTACCTGCATTTGACCTCCAGTCAGGAAGAGTGAGTAGGGAACTTCTGCAGATGATGAATGGAGAAAATGTGATATAATAAAATGTTAAATGGAGAAACAGCTTTGTTAAACAAAATCTAAAAGTGATAGAAAGACAACCTACCCTGAATGAGCCTCAGTGTTCAGAACACATAAATAGGCTACCACATAGAGCAGCCTCTGGTACGTGTCCCCTGGCATAGTGTCTGTCCCGGTGACTTGATAATATGTCCTCGGGTGTTAACCGCTGAGGTGAGTCTAGATTGTACCTCCTTTCTCGGGACAATGAGAGTGGTTTGAATGTGCTGGCTGTTATAAAGGTGATGGCAATTACACCATTGACCCTGAGAAGGTGTGGTTTTGTTGATGATGCTTCACCAAAAGGGGAGGGGTTTTAATGTATAGTTATAGTAACAACAAGAAATCGGACTCCTGAGGTAAACTGCAGTTTCATTTGTTTAAGTTCCAGTCACCACCGTATCAAAGTCCAGTTATTGTGTTGCAGCAACTCTTTAATTACTACAATCTAATGCAACATTGCTAATGCAATATTAGATAACATAATATCAAAGCAAGCTCATTTCCCTGGGGAAAGAAACATGTTAAACTAGTCAGAGCTGGTTTAAGCAGGTCTCTCAAACTTTAGCTGGGTGGTGAGGAAAGACCAAGTAAAAAAAATCAAGTAACATTTGTCTGCGTATGCCAGATAGATTTTCTTAACTAGACACCATTGTGATTGTTAAACGGATACACTTTTTAACAGTGTTTTTTATTCAAGTTTACAGTTCATGCGAATAGATTTGCAGTGTCTTCAGGTTAATTGAACCATGACAGTCCATTAAACACACATTTGAGACCTATTTTATTTACTGTGCTTCACTAAACATTACATTTGCAAAGATCAAATAGGAGCAAAGCCAGTGTTTAGATTGACGCCAGACGTTGACAGCTTGACCTTGCGATCTATAGTCGTACCTCTGGCCCGTTTAATGTGTAGTTTTCTTTTACTCCAACATTTTTCATGCGGTGACTAAATTTGAGCTAGAGCTAATTAACTTTATTCCTGTAATTATGTCACAGTCCTTGGTTTTATTTGCAATATAAGACATAAGTTTCCAAATGCTACTCTTTAAAAAAAAAAAAAAAAAAAAATGTTATTCCTCCTATTCCTCTCTTCAACCTGTCCGACAGATAAAATAACAGCAGCAACTCTGTATTATGAGAGATTGATTGGCTCAAATATCAGATAATAGCTTTCTTTAATGATCATCTCAGACATATGGAGGTGGTCTGATACTCATAGGATTTCCAGGATGTGGATGTCAGACATCTGCTATCAACTAAACTCTCGGTTTGCAGCAAACAAAACTCCTCCTTTACAGTAAGCTGAGAAACAGACTGCAGTTGAAGAGACCGGTGAATGACTGCGATTTCAACTCAGATAAGATTACATTTTCTATTTACCCTCAGTGGATCATTACGTGTCATCCTCTGACAGATGTAATACAAACAATATCACAAAATGAACATTGCTTTTCTCTCGGCGCTTGGATTTAATGAGAAAGTGGGCATGAATGATTTGAAACAAAAGCCCTTGGAGAGGTTAGAAATTGCTTCAATTTCTTTAATGCTCATTAAGAATATAACCAAGTGTAACCCCTCCACCCGGGTCCCACTCAATATCACAAAATGCCCGCTCCGAGCGGATCCCGAACCCGGGTCTCCGGCATGAGAGTCAAGCGCTCTAACAAGGAGGCTAAAGACTGTTAATAGGCTATTATAATCTTATCAGTTAACGGTTAATAATCGGATAACGACTGTCGGTTGTCGGTCGGGAAAATTAACCGAAATGAGCATCCCTACTAGAGAGCCTTTTGAGATCAGAGGAGTGAGGTTTACTCGCACAGCAACTACTAGCTGGCCTCTGTTACACAAGTTCAAAAGCAGGTCCAACCCTTGTGTATAAAGAACTGTCAATTTGCATCAGTGTGTAGGTTATGCCGAGTTGTTGCATAAATGAGTGCTAAGTTACAACTAAAGTTCACTTGGCTGCCATATTTGCAATGCCTCTGGCGATCTATTTGAATGGGGGAATCCTGAAATCTCCAGAAGTAATATAGTAAACCGTCTTTGTATATCTAGTCTATCTAGTCTTTGGTTACAACCTACACTCGTTTACACTAAAACTACCACTTACTGCTAAAAACATGCAAACTCAGAGCGAGGGTTTAAACTTTTATTTTGAAATCACAATGAACAATTAGCATAATAGAAACATACTGATGTATTCTCCTTTGTTGGCATAGGTTTATAAATTATTTACCTTACAAATCTGATGAAATGACGCATGTTGTTTACCCAGATGAAAGTTAGAAGCAACCCGAACTCATAGCTTATGCAGAGTTTGTTAACCAAGCTGCTGAGACGTGCTTCACGTAGATGATAACAGTGCAACTTCCCTATGAATCACAAAGTGCATCAGACTTTATGCTTTCACAAATGTACGTTGTTGGAAACCCAAACGAACAACACATGCGGAGGCTGAGTTTGGGTGGAGCAGCATTTACTGTGAGCGGAGCTGCTCTGAGACGCAGGGAGAAACATGTAATCTGCACACGTGTAAATAATATCAGCGTCGAGCTTCACTCTGAGACCTGCAGGGGATTTATTTAACCCTCTGGGGTCCTTCATTTCAGAGTCACACTCAGGACCTTCGGGTCCAAATGGGCCGGAAGGGTGGGATTAATATTTATAAAAAGAAAATCATCTTTTTTTTTTTTACTTGTTTTTTATAATATTTTTTCTTTTCTTTTTTGGTGTTTTGAGATAATTTCAAAAATAAAAATGATTTATAATTAATATTAATCCAATAATTATGACCCATTTTTTCCCCATTGAATATAATAGAATAAAAAAAAAAACATTTTAAATTTTTTTTAAAGCTGTATTTCATTTTAGAGTCAAGCCTAGGCCTCATGAAAGCAATTTTTGAAATGAGATGGATGCTATCTGGTGGACAAACTGAGCATTTTAAAAATTCAAAACCCATATGTATTCTGAATTTATTAGTGTGTATGTTTATAAAAGTGTGTTTGTGTGTGTGTGTGTGTGTGTGTGTGTGTGTGTGTGTGGATGTGTCTGTTTTGCACTCTTGATGTTTTATAGATTCACCCTTTCACTGTTGTGTGCTTTTTTTCCTGATCGTGGCTGAGATTACGTACAAAAAAACTCTGTATTTTCACATTTTTGCCAATTTCCCATTCATTTCCTATGCGGGTCCATTTGGACCCGAAGGTCCTGAGTGTGACTATTTTTTTTACAACCACTTAGACTATTCAAATCCACTTAGACTATTGGAATTTTTTTAAATAGAGCACTCAAATTTATTCAAGGGATTGTGACAGCCCTAAACATTAATACTGTGAAATATTATTACAGTCTAAAATTACTGTTTTCAATTTTAATATATAGGCTAACATAGAATATTTTAATATATACCCCCCCCTTTTTTTTTATTAAAAAAAGTTTAATTAAAATGTTTACCTGCAATTTGATCCACTGTGGATTGGGTAGATCATACTTTTTTCAGATATTGAATAATATTTTAGATGAATGACTGCAGAATACTCCCTGCTTTAAGAGATGAATGCATGCGTGTGTTTGATTAAGCCATTGTGTGAAACCTTTTTGATGGAGATACATTCCATCATGTAGCAGATTAATGGCCCTTATGTGAAATGTTCAGGTGTGTAATGTGTACACAGAGCCCAGATAAAGGCTGGTGTCAATGTGAGTGTTTGTGCAGAGTGTATTTGCACCTGTCAGAGATAAGAGAAGCCTCTCAATGAGAGCTAAAGTCTGACAGCTCTGAATGGACATTCCCTCGGCCGTTCCCCGACACTTACTGTCATTTGTGTCAATGCGCACTAAACTAGAAAAGAATATTAGTGCTCTCGGTCCTGTTCTCTCTTCTTTATTTTGTCTCATAAAGTCTCTCTGAGATTTGCACACAGGGAAAGTTTGGCTCTCTCATGAGAGAAATGATCATCATTGTTCAATTTTACATTTCAACTATTTCATTTGATTAATTAAACAAATAAGTGAAGTGATGTGACAACTAAATGCCACTTTAGATGAATCCAGTACATCTACATACACACACACACATATATATATATATAGACATTTTTTGACATGTTGTTTTTTCCACATTTTTGTTATAAGCCCTGTTAGATATATTTGATAAACTTAAATGTTAACATAACACATACCTAGTTTTAAACATAAAATGGCTGTTTTTTTTACCTTGGCATCTCAGTAGTTTAGGCTCTGTGTGGGGTGGATTTCTTCAGATTTATTTCCCAAAAAAATGCTCCAAATATTTTGGGTGGAAAAGTTACTTGTTTCTACTTGGTCCTTAATTTGAGTTTCGGAAACTTTCCTGCAGAGACCTTTAAAGTGTGAGCGGTTCAGAAAGCTGGGAGAGACATGTTTGTGATTTGTTGCTCAGCGAGGGATTTGCTGCGGAAGCCCTGGTGAGTTAAGCTGAGAGCTGCTCTGTGTTTGAAGTGTAACGTTGGAGAGGTGATATATTGTGTGCTTTTCCAAACCATTTCCCCTGGACACAGACTGAACTCTTACAAAGTTCCATAGTGTTTCATTTCAGACGTCACCTGACCCATGTCAAAATGAGGTAGAGTCCCAAACTGAGAACTAGTTAGCAAGATGTCAGGTTGTTCATTTAGAGCACGTGTGTAATCATCCACAGTTAAGACTCATTCGTTAATTTACACATTTAACTTTGGTTCTATACTTTGATTGTCTGAAGGGAGGTAGAGTGCTTATAGTTATTAAATTAGAACTTTTATACAATATACACTTTCTTACACAGATAATATATGAGGACATGTAAGCTTAATCAGTGAAACACTAAAAGTAGTAGAAACGTTATACATGCAAGTCAACATGCTTGCACGTTGTCATGCATAAGCATGTCAATTCCAGCAGAGAGCGCCAAACCCCAGTGTTTCTTCTCATTCTGCTCTTTAGTTAAATGTTGTGCAAGAAGCACGAGGAACAGGAGATACAATGTCAAATTCATGTCTCTATTTAAATGACAAAAAACCCCCCCAAAGAATTAATGAAACAAACCTAGGAGATTGCTGCTTAAATTCAGTTCATACTCTCAGTTGATTTCACAAAAAAGAGTCCTTGAAATATGTCTCAACACAAATGAAGTTTG